TCACGCAGGAACTCGCTGGGATTCAAGGATTTTATGAAGAAGCGCCGTTTTTCGATTGTTGGCAGAGTGAGTTCTTTCATTGTATTTATTTTTACTATTTGTGTCAAAAATTTTCTGCTCTTTATACTTTTAATTCCACAGTCTTTCTTAATTCATTCTAAATTTTAATGAACGCCGCGGGCGTTTCAGGCCACGTTTTCACAGCAGCGTCCACTGTTTCCGGGCTCTGCTCAGGTATTCAATGCCTTTTATTTGTGGTGGCATGCCCCGGAGCTGACTTCTCTGCTTTTATATATAGCAATATAGCCGTTCTGTATACTCTCCCAAACCCTGGCTACCGTATTGCGAAATCAGAAAAGAATGACGGATGAAGCCAAACGTTTCTCAACATTAAAAAAATATTTCTGATTCCGCAATACTACTCAGCCCCCCCAATAACCCTTCCCTACCGTACCTAATGTCCATTACACACCCATGCTTCTTCAGCTATACCTCCCAAAACTACCCCATTGTTTCCAGCTTCTATCCTCCCGTACATCGTCCAGCGGCGAATCTATCCGACGTACGTCCGAATCCCAGGTCCATCCCTTTTAACATCAATTAAATCAAATTTTTAGAATGGAGACTCGCCCGAAGACGAAGACGACCTGTCCCCCAGACCTCTATTCCAGCGGCGGATGAGTGTACCTGAAAAGGTTTTTCACAGTGCTGTAAGTTGGAGTCACTCGTAGCTAGAATGTTTGTGTTTTTTAGGACTATTGCATCCTGCGACCCAGTGAAGAGCCGGACGTGCGCTATGAGATTGTCGCGGCTTTTGGTGGGTTTTCAAAAGGGTTAAGGTTAAAATACCGACATCAAAAATGCCGGAATCCTAACACGCAAAATGGCGGTTGAAGACAAAGGATCAAAAGAAACCTTGGCTTCGGTATTAGGGGTGCAAATCGTTTACTACGATGTCCATTAAATAATTCCAACCTTCACTGACCACTTAAACTCTTGACCTCCCTTTTTTGGCTTGCTTGCCTTTCAAACCCTGCAACCCTTCCCAGGACCGGTGATCATAAACATATATTGAGAATAGCGCGGCAATGGTTGTTCGGTTTTTTGGCAGCAGTGTTTGGACAGGCTGACCCTCCTCCTCCTCGTCCTCCCCTTCCACTGGCAAAGCTGCTTACCCGTTCCGTTCTGAAACGGAACCGCTTGGTTGGGCCGGCGGGGGGGATTGCCCTTTCATTCGGCGCCCTCACTTCCCCAATCCACTATGGCCCCCTATTTGTTGCCGTTAAATTCGAGAATTGGCGTTATTACTCGAAGATATACGGTCAATAGCCGACCAGAATCAGCTAGGCGAATTGAGGATGGTAAGGAAGATTCCGCCATTTCTTTGAAAGTACGCTACCTAAATTGCTTTTAGGTTTATAACCTTATTTGAAAATAAAAACCCCCAGACCCATATTTTCCAGCCTCACGTTATATTTTCTGATTTCAGACCGTTTCACCGACCCGTACCGCCATTATATGCAAAGCCTCACGTGTTACGACCTAGCCCCCGTTCACTCGGCAGTCGTCGTCATGGATGGCTCGCTTTTGGTATCGCTTTGATCTTTTGGGCAAATCGGATTCGTTGCCAGATTCACAAAGCGCTTACCAATCTGCTAGAGTCTGGCCATCAAGCCGCCGTCATCACGAATTTGAATATTAAAAGTGAGTTTGTTTTTCGGGAGGTGAAAAATGACTCTTTTGTAGTTAGTGTCAGTGACGGTAGTTTTGTCGTTGCATTTCGTAGGGGGAATGAAGGTAAAACCCCACCATTCAGGAAAGGCGCCTCGATTAGCCAAGCTTACCCAAGAAAAAGAGAGCATTTCTATAGCATAAGTCCGAATTTTCGAAGTTGTAAGCGGATACCGTCAATCACTAAAATTGGCCAAGAACTTTGGAACGAATTTCAACACCCTAGCACGCCTGCCAAAACCTTTTGTTTTCAGATGGTTTCTCAATGCTTACCTTCACCGACTGCCTACAAGCCATTCAACTGGCCACCCAAGGACTGCAGCCGGTAGTGTTTCTTCTTCCCTCCTCAAACATGTGTTTTTCCCAGGTCGCCGAGCAAACAGTCGCCGAATTCATGCAGCACAACAACGGCAAGCAACTGATAACCGCCGATGTGGACACGAGGTATCGAAGAGTGATCATCATCGTGGTAATCTGCTTTCTTTAGCATCTGGGATGCGGCGAAGTTGATTTGTCTGAACAGTGTCCATCGTATTCCGGTAATACAGGTATTTCAATTGCATTAAGTCATTTATATAATCATATTAAGAAGGAAGATCCGGATGCTAAGATAGGAGATGTTCTTTATATGCTCACGCTCAAGACGGTCTTTCATGAGACTGTATTACGGCTGGTAGGTTTCATTGAATTTTTCTGACATTTTTAAACACTATAGGAATGATACCCTGTTAATGACTAAAACAAACTTTCAGTCGGACCCCAAATTCGCCCTCGGCCCTCACATCAAACACCGTACCCTCTCCGAGGCCAAAATAGGAACCTGGGACGACCGCCACGAACTTCACACGGTAATTCCGTATCTAATCGCAACCCGGCAGCTTTGTTGCACTTGCAATTTTGGATCCCAACCCTCACCCATCGATGGTTCCAGGATCTTTGTCGCAAATGTGTTTACTGGGGCATTGCCGTGGACCTCTCCCTCTCTCGATCTCTATTTTTCTCACTCTCGCTCAACCCTCCACTTTTTGCAGCACTTTCCCCTCTTCTCCCAATATTCTCTCTTTGGTGGACCACTGGTCCGTCACATGATGTTTTGCACTTCTTTTTTGCTGGGTGCGAGAACGCGTGCAGTGGTCCTCCAAGGGGATGAGGGTTGCATTTATCAGTGGGCCCTTGAAATTCGTCTGAAATTATTGGAAAGCCGGAAGCTTAGAGACCCAGGGTGATTTCGAAATTCCTAAAACCAGCAGCGATGTGTTACTTTCCTATTTCCAGGTCGGCGAAGACGCGAAATGCTCACAAGCCATAGAAATGATGATCGAAAAGCGGGTCTCTTGCGTGCCAGTCATCGCCAAGGATAAAAAAGTGGTCGCCGTGTTATGGTACGCGTTCAAAAACCCGAGAAATTGTTGTATTTTAGTAAAACTGATTTAATGGCCGAGCTGCAGGCGCATCCGGAGAATTATTTGCAAATTATGGATACACCAGTTTTGGTAGGGAAATTTGGAAAAATGATAGAGAATTGATTTGCTTTAGACTGTAATTGGCAACAAGAAGAGTCCATTCGTCACTCCGACTTCCATGCTATTGGAAGTAAGTTTTTATTATTTCGGATTGATTTATAGTAATCGTACACAAAAATCGAAAACAGTCTACTAAAGTGATATAGAAAACAGCATAGACAACATAGGCGAATAGTTACCTTAAAAAATGTTGTCATTTGGAGCCCCATGGAAGATTGATTATTCTTTCGAATTTTTATTCAACTTTATTATATATAAATTATATGTACAAAAAATTTCCAGGTAATTGCCCAACTTGCATCCAGCGAACGCCAATCCCTCTGCGTCGTCAACGTAGATGGTCATCTCCTCGGAATCGTCTCCTACGCCGACCTCATGGATTACATCCAGAATTCTTCGGAAATTCACCACAAAATGAGCTGTACCTAAATGCCCCCAGTTTTGATCCTCATCTCATGTACTCCAAAAACCACCTGCAATATATCCACCCTGATGCACTAATGTACATAAGGACTGTACGTATCCATCCCAATACCCGATCCTCTCCAGCGCACCATGGCATTCCAACTTAGTTTTTCTTGGTTTTCGTTATGTTTTTTAAAATCTGTACGTATTACTCGTTTCAAACCGTGTAGAGCTTATCCCCAAAACGCAAAAAGTGCCTCAAAAACCCAGTCTCCGGTTTGTACATAGGAGTTTATTGTTTGGCTCCCCTAGCAGGGAATGCACTCGCGAGAACGGTAGCCGTTTTTATGTTTATAATCCCCCTTTTTGTGTTTATATAGTCACATAGCAAGCTTTTGCCATAATTCCAGTCCATTTCGATTGTACATTAAGACTATATATATCGGGTTGTGCCCTGATTTCCCCCCATCCCTCCCTCCCGAGTGACAATTCCACCCGAAACGGTAGCAACACGCAAAGGAACGTATTCTTTCCCTACGGGACCATATTACTGTTTGTTCGACCATCTACTTACCAATCGATTGTTAATAAATGTGCTGTATTTAAGTATATTGAGGATAAATTAAGAAAAAGATATGCTTCACAGAGCTCAGACACCACAAAGGAACAGTACAAACATCGAAACTTAAAGGCAACATGTCATTACTTGAATTATGATTTGTTTATAAACTCTGTAGTAATAGTCTTCGTTTCTGATAAATTTCAATGCCTACAAATTCTTTACTTAGAAACTTCACTATTTATCAATCCGCTATTCATGGATTTTTGGCGTTGAACCAATCGATCTTTAAACAGATTTTTAGACTCATCAGCTTTTGAAAAAATATTTATGGATAACGAATTTACGACGAATTTGACGGAGCCAATCTTAGGCATTTCCGGCGATTTAAAGCCGATAGGTCTTTTCTGCAAGCTTGAAAACAACGCTTTTTAAACCAATGGGACTGAACCAGTTTTTACAAGGGTTCAACCGACAAGCAGCCCCCCTGCCTCCAGCCGTACCCATTCATCTCCCCCAGCGTGACCAAGTCTTTGACCCATCCGGCCCCTACGGACCAACAAAAAAAGGAAAAGCCGATCCCTGGGGTAGGTCTCCACCCACCACAGCCGACATCAATCTTAGACCAAAACTCGGCCCCTTCAAGCCCCTCCGAACCCTAACAACTCCGATCCTTCTTCCCTTAAACTTGGCCCTCTAGACCATTCGTGCAGAACGCCTTCCTTAAAACACTTCTGGAGCTTCTTTAGTACTTACTTCTGTGTTAACACTGCTTTTACAGGATGAAGCCTTATGTACTGATTGCCATCTTTTGTCTATCAACGGTCTTTGCGCGGGCGAAATATCGTGGTTGCTTGAGGGTTGTAGGACGACTCGTTTGCAACACCAATCCGGCAAAGCAGGGAAATATAACTATATCTATGTACGATTCGGACTGTGGGTTTTTGGCATTAACTGAGTGGTTCGCTGCAAATTTCACTTGAGCTCTGTCTAGAGTAAAATGACCTATATGACTAGTAAAACTTTAAATTTGCATGTCTCTAGCACTCAAACTGGCGACGTTTTAGGGCTCTCCAGAAATGACCTAATGGCTGTTGGAACCACCGATGAAAATGGTTTTTACCAGGTAGAGTGATAAATACTATGTGTTCCCACGGAGTCCCTCCTCTTCGGATCGGCTTAATTTTCCGCCATTCCGAGGCTTATGTAAAGGCGAAAAAATATAATTTTCTCAATCTGTTATTATTCTTTCAACCAGCGCCCAAAACCCGCTTCGCGGGCCTTGGGCGCTGGAATGCGACCTTTGCATGAGTCCGATTCCGATAGCTTGGGTCCTTCGGACCCCCTCCCTTCCTCCGACCACACCCGCGCGTGCAACTTGCAAGAATGAGGAAATTTGTATTTTTTGGAATTATGCAAAGTAGCCCTCCCTAGCGCCGGACACACACACAAAGATACATTCCAAAATTATATAAGGTAAGATTTTTTTAAAGCCTAGTAGTGGGCAAAACCAGAATTAGAATGCAGAGGTTGCATAAATTTGCCATTTTTATGGATTACGCAAGTAGAGATCATTTGATAAATTGTAATTCGGGAACAAAAGTTTTTTGATGCACCCTGTGTGTATCTAGTTCTGGTTTCTTACCTTGTCATAACCATTTCTTCAAGATAACCGGATGCGCGGCCGACTTCTGGCCAATGAAACCTGATCCGTACTTCACATTCGATCATGAATGCCCGGTCGCCTGCCAGCTATGCCCGCAGAGAAATCAGACGGTCCACACTTTCAAGTGAGTCATTGTCAAACTACCCCAAATCTTAACATTATTCTTAGACAAAAGATAGACAAGCGCTATTTGACTCACGGGGTGCACGTCAACGCAACGATCCTCGAGGATATCTTCCTGGCCGAAAATGCAGAACTGGACGCGTTACGAAAGTTTACCCTACCGTCTATCAAGGAAAAAGGGCATTGGGCTCGGTTGGCCAATAGAACTGATTTCCTTGCGCTTAATTATTAATTAACGGCTTGAAATTACGACAGCTTTGATTTGTATGTGCCAATATGTAGTTTCCTGTTGTCAACATATTAGTCAACCGATTTTTAGGTGTTAAATAAATGTTTTATTGTTGGAAAGCAAAACGTTTAAAAAATAGGGGTCGTATAAAGCCAAGTTGGCTTCAACCTCCGTTGAGCAACCTTTGCCTACTACAATGTGGAAATCTTGATCGGCATAAACACGGGTTGATAAATAAAGCAAATGGCAAAGATTTTGTTGTGTATCTTAATATCTCAAAGCGGGCGTTTGGGGGAGTTTGGTGTATAGATCGATTTACGCTGAGGGGAGAAAAGCGAGAGAGAGAGAGAGAGAGAGAGAGAGAGAGAGAGAGAGAGGATACAGATGCCGATAGGTGTAAATGTCCAACTCCTTGATGCGGAATATCACCCTATTAAGACATTATTTAAATATTTCAAACCGGGTGCCCTTTCGCCTTACCATCATTCAAACCAAATGCACTTTCTTTTTCTGCCGATCGTGCTTCCCACGATCCGGGCCGATGCCTCAGCATTTTCACGGTGCCGCTGAAGAATCATCGCCTCATAGGGGCAATGCGTGGCCCTGGGACGACCTCCCACCCGTTTCCCCTGTACGACATTGTGCTCATTCCCTGCTCTGCAAACCCAACGCTCCCTCTCTGTTATAACTTTTTAAAAGGAGCTCTCCTCATTCGTTTGGACGCTGATACGAAAGGTGAGCTTTTAGGGTCCTCGGGGCTACTTTATGGCCCTCCAAACAGTTATCAAACCCAGTTGGCGGCAGATTAATCTTGTAAAAACCAAAACCAGGTGTAAAAAAGACGACGCGTTTCATGGAATGGCCATATCAGTGATCGGGTAGGGCGAAACGGGGTTCCCGTGTCCGTCTCCTTTGGACTACCGCAGTCAGCTTCTAAATCACCCGCCCCATCAAGACACACTTTCCAGGACTTTCCAGTCATCTCCTAAACATTCGCTGTGTAAGGAAGTATGAAGTACTTCTTTATATTATCCCCCTATTGATACATGCAAATTGCACATACCCCTTTTTACAGCCCACCTTAGAATTTATTATTATTAGCGACATCTCACATACCTACCGTTTTTTTTACTATGAACTCACCTTGTTTTTGAGCGAAAATATCAAATTTAAATTTAACCCAATTTTAGTTCGGGATGTGGGCCTTACTGTTGTTCACCTCCTTATTCGTCGCCGTCGGCAGCGTGGATCCTCATCGACCGTACTACCCCCGCTGCCTCAACCTGGTCGGCCGTTTCGTCTGCCGCACCGACCCCGAAAAGCACGCCAACATCACAGTGTATTTGTATGATTACGATTGTAAGTGGATTTATATTAACGTAGTTCTTTTAATTTTATCTCTCTCCATTTTTTTTAGCAAAGGAATGCGGTATCAAAAATCATCATCTAAACACCATTAAGGGGGGCTCACCGACGACTATGTCTCTGAGAACCAAACGGACCAGTACGGCCGCTTTGCGGTTTGTACCATCCCAAACATTTTAATGGGATTTCTAGCTACGGGGCTGCGCTTCGGATGGCTTCTTGTTTTTCCGACCGGATCCATATATTGTCGTCCACCACGACTGTCCGAAAAAGCACGATTATTTGCGACAGGGCCATACGTTCAGGTATTTCCATGATGTTTTGCTAATCTCAAATTCGCTGCTAATAGAGTTTTGGGAGATTCATTGACAATAATTTTTCGTAGCTAGGGGGAATCGCTTTTGCTCTTGCTAATTACGTTGTCATATTTGTCATAAAAAAGTTTACAAATTCAATTCGGGTTGACTGAGTTTAACCAGGAGGATTAGTTCGCATGACGGGAAAATGCCAAATTTCCCGTTTTTTAAATTGCTCGCGGCATGCCAAGAGCTACAATAAAACCAAATTGTCCATGCGACGCTTTTAAACGTTTACTATTTACCTATTAAAATAGGTAAATAGCAAATGGCTAGTTTTAAAGGGGTAACGAAGGCCTAGCAGGTCAGGGGTCATCTTTTATTGGCAACGAACAAACCGGAAATGCTAATGCAAGAAATGGACAGAGAGTGGGGCGAGGCAGGAGGGAATAGAAAAAATTTCTGCTATTTTTAGAAGGAAAGCCCGCTGTATGCTAATTTTTCCTGGGCCTTCCTGATCCCTCTGATCCTAATGTTTTTCAGTGAACATTTGTCTTTCAGAAGATTCATCAGCAAGTCTTACCTCGTCGACTACCGCAAGCTTCACTACGAGGCGCACCTTCACCCCTATTATCTTGACGAATATGATAAGGTCCCAGTAGTGATCATACCAAGCCATGTGCTGGATAAGAGCCGCCCGATCTGGGGCTACCCTGAGCCTGAAGTTCAAGCCGACACTGCTGATCCATATCATGTCCCTGACTATTACCCACCCGCAAATATGGACCCGAAATATGAACGGGAGTCCCGAATTCGCATGATCGATAATCATAAGCGGTGGCTGAAAAAGCAAGCCGAACGTCTGGCTAATGAGGATTGGGACTAAGTGTTCAATCGATCGATTGATTTTGTATGTCTTGTCTTGATAGAGATATTATGCCTATACACAGGACAGGCTAGTTAGGATGCAAAGTACAACCGTCAGAAAATTGTCTTTTGCCGGCCAAATCTTTAATTTTTTACGCTTTGCATCTTAGGTTGTCGACCGTCCGCGTCAATATGCATGACATTTCTACGTAAAAGCCCCATTATTACTGTAACACTTTGAATTTGTTTTGAATTTCGTTTTGAATAAAGGACGACGTGCAAAAAAACCTTAAAACACTCAGAATAATTTATTGCATACGCAAGGCGCTCGGGATATCCGCAGTTTATCACAATTTTCGAGGGAGAGCAACGTTAATTTCGCATTTTCGTAAAGAAGTAACTGAAGTACATGGTAATAATGAGGGCTCAAGAAGATGGGGGTAGGTAGAAATGTAGACAAGACACCGTATCAAATGAAAGAGCGACATTACAGAATTTTCATAGCGCACTACATAATTGCATTCCCATTTGACGCCAATTTGGGGTTTTTGGTTTGGGCTGTGATGAGGACGGAGATGTAGGATTTGAGGAGGTCATCCATTTTGTAGCCCTAAAAATTGGGTGTTTTGTTCTCAGGTTGCATTTTTTATAGCTTATAAAGCCAACTTACATATTCGGTCTCAAAAAGTGAGCCTGGGCGACGAGCCCTTGAGCAAGTTTCCAACCGTTATATTGATATAGGTATTTCCAATTGTCCAGTTTCCAATTTGTGTAAATGGATAATTGGCAATTTGATTCTAAAAATAGTTTATAGAAAAGTATTTTTGGCATTAGCGCATTAGAGGAAATTCATATTTATTAAATACCTTTGTTTCCGGGTGGAACAGCGACACTCCCTGCCGATTAATAGAAACCAAAAGCTGTGCGGGCAATGTCTGATCAGCCGTCTGCTTCACGACAAAGAATGTCGACCCAAATGTCGGCCAATTTCCGAATCTTATCCGAGGAAAGCAGTTTTTGCGTCCTCGCATGACATCTGCTCGATGCCGCTTGAATAGGCTTGTTTGATGTTCTGAATTAGGCTATAATCATGAAAAATTGACTTTTGTTACCTTCTTCCAGTCGTTACCACTATAGGCCTTTACTAAATCTTGAGGAACAATTTCTGACATCATCAGATGAAGCTGCCCAAATGGAGCCGGCTGGTCAGGTCTAAAAATTTAAATTTAAAACTTAGCGGCCACTTTGCCTTGTCCGAGCCCTAAGAATCAGTGCACCAATCGAAACAGCGTCTTGTTTGCTAACTTTGTGATAGCCAGAGAGGTATTTTGGCAGCTCCTAAAATCGATTCGTTAATGTCATTAGTGCGGGGTCACCTGGTGGTAGTGGAAGATAAGATCTGCCATTCGATCTTGTCCGATCTCCACATTCAACCATAATTTTCGCATAAAAGTAGACTTGGTAATTCAACGGTACATATGGTCGATCCTGAATTATCTTGTTCTAAAAATTAATTAGAGCTGTACCTTCGTCGCAAAATTTTCTTGGGCCCAATCGGAGAGTTGTCGGATAAAGTCGAAGAAGAATTCATTTTCAGGCACGGACAAAACTACAAACAACGATGTTACCATTTCTTGAAAGCCTACTCTTTTCATCTGTTCGCAAGAACAACGAGAATCCCTCAACACTTCTCAATTTCAAATGTTTCCCGATCCTCTGGCAGAATTCTTTGGCTTTCGTGGAAGAGTCCAGCTCGATTCCCTCATTTGTATGATCCGGGAAGTAGACCTAAAAAATAAAAGCTATTATTTTAAATACTTTAAATACCTTATGCAGAATTTGCACAGTTTTGTTTTGGATTGCCTCAACTTCCACCGAATAAGGCGCAAATTTACGAGCGCCGGCTCTAGAATTTTATTTGGATGATTCATTTATGTTCTAACTCACTTTAGCATTTTATGAACCCGATGGTAGCATTCGTTCGAAATCGAGTTGACCCGTGATTTGAGGAACTGGATCACCTCTTTGTAGAGGCTTTGTGATGGAGGGAATAAACCTGAATACAGTTTCTTTATTTATTTAAATTTTTCAAACCTGTGGCCCAGCCAGAACAATTCCCATCCACGTTCTTCGCTCAAAAGAGATGGGTTATGGGTCAATTGTTTCATTAATTGACAGTAACACTCATCCCTCAAGATTTCCTTAACAAATATTTACCTTAAAATTAAGAGAGATGGACTTACATATTTCAAAGGAGCTTTGAAGACCTGGTCGGTAATATCGGTCCCCAATCGACTCCGATGCGTTTGATAATCGCCCATATATTTCATGATAGCGATATAGGAGTTGATTGCTTCGATGGCTGGCTCTTTTCTAAATTATATTCCTAGGTTTGTACCTTATATGTATGCTTACCTTCCTTCCAGTTTCTTTAGGAGTGGTTCTCTGATTGGTTCCCTCGAGAATCTCCAGATTTCGCCAGTATTTGGTTCCCCGTCTTCGCAGAGTCATGGATCGTTTTACTGGTGTAACAGATCTGAATTTTAATCTGAAGATGCTTTTCATGATTCCTTACTTGAAATTATCAACGGCGAAATTCTCAAGGGTATGTGGCAGATCTCCAGAGCTATGAATGACTGCAATTTGCTTGCCCATGGACGGCTGCATCATCGAGTAGTCAATATTTTTCGGGAACATATCCTGCAGGTATTATTTAATTTATCTTTAAGTTGTCTTCGACTTACCATCACCGCATTTGGGGGTTTGACCAGCGTGGGCAGGACATAGACTTGATCCGCTCCAACAGTACCTTGCTGCCCAGTCCGAGCATTTTCAGCCATTACCACCTAAAATTTGTTAAAAGACTTGTTCTTTTCGTTCCTACCTGCTGTTGCTTCAAAATTGCTCCTGTAGCCCCATTACACAACAGCAACAAATCTCCTTGCTCAAATCCAAGCAAACTGCTTTGTTCTGAACGCCTTCGGTATATCATTCAAGGTCCTAATTTTACCGTTTTCCCGTTGTGATTGTGTAGCTATCAAAAATTTGCTTCGCTCCTTGAGTCCAACCAAGAAATAATCCACAAGTTCTGCGATATCTTCAGCGTTTGGTGATTGGAAGGTGAAGTCATCCCCAGACACAGCACGGATAGTGAAATTATCGGCACCGGTGCGTTTCCCCCTGAAACATTATTGGAACAAAATGGATCGAAATACTTGTTGAAAATAGATGCCGCTACTTCCGGGAAGGAGAATTCTTGTAAAACCTATAAAAAAACTACACCGATTTGATTCTAATTGTACTTGTTCTTCATCATCGACAACATATATCCCAGTATAATTAACGGCAATGATGACTTCATCTCGCGGCAATGGTGGGCCAGCAAATTTGACCGCCTCATAGAATCGGGGAGAATAGAAGGGGCCATTTGAATTTGGCGAACGCGACAACATCCTCTTTGACTTGAGAAATAGAGGGTTGTGGAGTGATGTTGAATTTCTAAAAATAAATTAAAACCGTATTTTTGAATACCTTTCGATGGACATTCATAATCAACTGAATCCAGTACTGCTCATTCTTCTCTTGTGAATTCAATACGAAATCTGGGAGATAGCCATTGAGAGCTTTCCTGAGCTTGTCGACATCCATTGCACCCTCATCAACGATGTAATTTTGAGCGGCGACCAGGGCATAGTCTTCGTCCTAATTTACTGTATCCATCGATTATATTCAACATACCTTTTCACATCGATATTCACCAAACTTGACCCCACGGACAATTTGCTGGTAAATAAGGTTGGTGCCAACCGAGTCTTCTTTCGGATTATACCAAGGTGAGAAGATCTCCTTTCGGAAGAATAGTCTCCAAGGGGCATTTCGTTCCTGATTTCCTTGTTCTTTTGCGTATTGTTCACATTGCGAGACCGCATCCAGAACGTGATCACAACCGGAGCCCAACGAAGAAACCTTTAGGGTATATTACTAATCATTTTTTCTGTCTTACCTTGTCAAAGAGGGCTATGTACAAGCTGAAGCCAAATCGATCCTTCAGTTGGACTTTCTCGGCTAGAATCTTGCAGAGTTCAGACGCTGTTGTGGCTGAGTCGGCATGTACGCTTTTAACGCTTCCGTCCATAAAGGTAATGGCTAAGACGATGTCCTTCTTGGCTTTATTTGCCTACAAAAGACACTAAACTGGTCAAATTCAATCTCAAACTTGTAGCTCGACATAGCTAGGCGGCTGGTGTCTAGTTCCGTTCTTTTGGGTCCTCCGTAACCGCTGCTCGATGTAGGCTGCATAGCCGGAATTTCCGGGCCCTTGTTCACGAATGAAGCAGAAGAGGTATTTAATGAATCTTAAGAAATTTGGCATATTTTACCATTTATCGTCCTACCGTTCACTAGGAGCGAAACATCCAACACACAAGCTCATTAAAATCCATCCTCGAGCTTGACTCAATTTCGACGGATTAGTTGATAACTGCTTGCATAGCTGGCAATAGATTTCGTCCCTAAATTTTAAATTTTATAGCATACAGCAGGCGACGCTACCGTAACTCCTCTCGTAAGATCCCCAGCCCGATGATGTAATGTAATTTGTCGAGACTGCTCATCGGCTTATTTTCAAGTAGAGCATTCGAATAGTTCGAGGCGTCCGATCGATCAGATGCATTGGATTCCATTCCTAATCATATTGAATGCTTGAAAATCATTTTCGTCCATACCTGTCATTTTGGTCTTCTTTTTCAGAGTCATGGATATCAGTTTCTTTCCCACATTTCGGCTACGAATCTTGTTTGAACCATACTGAATTAAGAATTTATATAAATGAAATGATTGAGGTTACCTGGTCATACTCGCTGGCCATACTTGCTTCTTCCACATCTCTTCGGCTAAACTTTCGGCCAAGCGTTGCGTAAAGCCGCGTCATCACTGGGGTTTTGTCCTGAAATATTCTATATATTCGGAATTTTTGTTTTTACTTACATAATTGCCTTCACCATTGATCGATCAGGCTTTGCATCCGGTAAGTCACCCATAAACGAAGCATTGTCATCCAGACAGCCAAGCCAGCCTGAAATTTCATGATGTTTTACCCGGTGACTTTATACCGTGGATTAGTTTTCATTCTTTTAAATTTGTAAACTTACCAGTTGACTACCCGGATCATCATTGTACAACAAGGTTTGTTTTAATGGTCTCTTGACATGGGATGAAGTGGCTTGAGCCTAAATTCAAACTTTGTAATATTCAGGCGGTCCAGTACCTGGAAATGGGTGGCGGCAAATTTCCCAAATTGATATTTGCTCAAATCTTCGCCATCAAACGGATCATCCATCATAGAAGTGGACGGGCTGGGGGTGGTCGTCACCTAAAAATTCTTTGTTTTGCAGATACGGAAAACTTACTGATGTCCGGGTAAGCGTATTTGATTCGCTTCCAGAGCCATTTCCGTGTCGGCTGGGAGGTAGTCGAAGAGAGGCGGAAAGCGGGCAAACAAGACTCGAAAAATAAAATTGTGCATACGATATCTTTCTCCGGTGCGGCCATATTTCCATTAATTTCTGGCTCTGGTGATGGTGGCTTTGCCATCTCGCTGGCCTTCGCTTGCCCTTTGCGCGCATTGCTTTAACTTCGTTTCGAACCAATGCTCCACGACAGTGAGCCTGGCGGAGACAGGTTAAAATCAATAGAACCCTGAATTGCCTGGAATCGAATAATCGTAGCCGCAAGCTTTGATAATGTTCTTCGAGGCGTTTGGCACGGAGCCAAGCTTGGAGACGGGTGATGCCGACGATAATCTAAAACAAATAGTTTTGCAGTTTTATACCTATGTTTGGAATTCATGTGATTTTCATGTATTCTCTAGGGACGGCAGTAGCCTAAAGGGCCCTGGGCCTTTGATGTAATGACCTCCCCAGTGGATCCTATGGTGGTCCCACCTGTGCAGTAGGTCCAGAAAGTGGGTCATAAGAACACAATTTTTGGAGGTTTGCTGGGACAATAATCGCTTCAAATGTTAAAGGCAATGCTGATTATTTTAAACATCATAAAATAATAAAGAAACTCATAGATTTTTGTTCCATTTTGATCTGCTTTTTCTATGCATGAAAAAGTATTAATAAAATTTAACGTCTTATTGAAAGCAAAATCAGGCTCAACCAACTTGTCGATATCTCCTCCGCTGCTCGGTCCTCTCCAAGGTTTTCTGGATCATTACGGCAGATTGTGTTGCCGCAAGAATTGCCTTCGAGCCACCCGGCGCACTGTCTTTTGTATCGTAATCGCTCTCTCATTCATCATCCGGAAGTACTCCTTAAAATTTAGTTTTCAATAAACAACGCTTTTACACAGCACTCCATTCCACCCACTCAATTTTGCCTTTCTTTTTGCGGATGGTAAGGTTATCTGGTACGTGTTAGATGGGTGTTTTATAGAATAGAGGACTTTTTGCACCAACCTGTTCAAGATACAGATCATGCGCGTCTTTCCAGGAACACTTTTGTTTTACCGAGTTGGAAGTCGGCTTTTGGCCAAGAACCTAAAATAAATATAAACCTTTTTTGGTGCGTTTAATATACCTTGAGGCGGATCTTTGGCCGCTGAGAGCAGTCAATACGATGAGCAGGGGCTAGAAATCAGGATAAGTATGCTGCTACTAACGGTTTGACTTACGAATTCCATTGACCAACATGCGATATCGATCCACAAAGTCTTGATAGCCATGTCGAACCGGATAACCAGCTTTCGAATCTTGATCGTCTCCATCATGCCGGAATCACCGTAGTTGCCGAATAACAAGCGTTCGATCCAGATACTAAGATAAGGCTTATGTTTTTTTGGCCCAAGCCATTACCATTGGTTTCTTGAACTCATTTGGCTTGATGCAACGAATGAAGAATGGTTCCGTTTGTTGTAGCGCATTCATCAGCGATTCCAGGATTTCTTGAATTGCCCACCAACTGTCGCCACCTTTCTCCTGATTGAAATTGCATATCTATTTTAGGAAATTAACATACTTGTTCAAGCCATCAGAATATTCTCCTTCGTCGAACAATCTCATAAGGGTTCATTTTTGACGAAGCGACGAGTCCATGCAAATCGGCAGAAAAAGCATCGCGGTTTTTCTCGAGGAACCCTATATATTTTTATTTATTATCATACAAATCTCCAAACCCTTGGTGGAATAATAAACAGCTCCGGCAAAATGGGTAATTCCAAATGCCTTCTCCAAATCCGATTTCGGTTTCAAGTAAAGCCCATCGTTCTTGTGGTGATTTGCGTGGAGTTTTTGGAGCATGGAAACATCAGTGCCCTATATTATCATAAGAATAGGCAAGCTGCCAGTTACCCTTCGGGAAAATGCTTTCTTCGTCGATCAAGCTCATGATATTCATTGGGCGTTGAGCGATGAGGTCAAGCGTTTCCTGGTTGTCCACAAATTGTATGTGTCGCCAGTTGATCTTTCTAAAACATGGTTCTTCAATAACTTCCGGTGCAACTCACCAGATCGTATTCCTTTTGCTCCATCTTGAAAATATGACGAACGAAGAATTGCTGTAGGTGTTCATTGGCGTAGTTGATGCACAACTGCTCGAAACTGTTGGTGTCGAAGTTTTCGAAGCCAAAAATATCCAAAACACCGATGGAAATGTGTCGATGGGCTTCAGAGCGGGGCCTAGAGGAATACATTACCCCAGGAATTTTAGCCTCACTTGTAAATAGCGTCATTGATCTTCTGAACGATGTAGACAAAATTCGGCCATAGACCCTTTTACAAAAGCGTCACGGGTATCGACAGCTTGTTGCGGGGTTAGGGTTGATATTACACGTTCCTAGAACGTTTATCGTTACCAAAAAAGATAAAGAAACTCGCCTCGCGTGTGACGATAGTTTTTGTTGTCAACGTATTCAACAATACCCGTTCATCAAAGTGCAACAATCGAGCCACCACTTCACCAAATTTAAATCGGCCACTTCCACCCCTTCCAAATTGTGCGACATCGTCGCTGAAAATTTGTTGTAAGGTTCCATTTCAAAACGCACATCGATATTTGATATTTCCAATATGAAGAAGGGCAGCTAGGATACGAAAAATCGAGCTGACTTCCGGATCTTTGAACATCAACACCTTCATGGCTGATCGGATATCAGCAAAATCAGCCGCATCATCACGGCCATCAGCGATTAGTGTTTTGCCCTAAAACCGTTATAGATCTACGAATCTAGCGTTACTTCATACCTGGGTTAGATAGAAATAATCCGAAGGGGCCGTGAGGTCATATTGCTGCTTCTCTTCAAGCGAAAGTCCGGCTAACAAGCAATAGAAAACGTGATAATTCCGTTCTCCCGGCGATTGGGCGACGATTCTCGACTTCTCCAGCAGGTATTGCTCAATTCTAGCGCCCTCGATTGCGCCATGACTGTTGAAATGCACATCAATGTATTGGCCGAAACGTGATGAATTGTCGTTTCGGATTGTCTTTGCATTTCCAAAGCTTCCAAGATAGGATTGGCTTCAAGGACCTATAACTCTAATTTATAGCCGTTCGATAAAGCGATTACCTGTTGTTCAATCTACGAATGCTGCCCGGAAATGGTGGCCAGGGATTGCAAGACAAGTTTGGTGCTTTCAGTCTTTCCGGCTCCGGATTCACCACTATAAATGAATGAATTAAATGCTCACTAAAAATACCTGATGACAACGCTTTGATTTTTTGAGGAATTTCGCATGTTGGTGTTGGCATTGTCTGCGACAGCAAAATGTGCGGAGGAAGTTCTCCGATTTTTCGGTGTCTGTACAGGCGGATCTGAAAGTACGGTTTTCATGTCGTTTTTTTGCATTGCTTTAGCCAAATGGCTACTAAAGATTTTTTTCTTGGTAATCGCATTTAGGGTTATGAGGAAATGGGGTGGGGTTGGGTATCGTTAGAGACCGCAATCCCGACTGCGCGCATAAAATTGTTTACGATCGTAATGGCCTTGGAACGGAGGGGTGGAAAGCGTTTGACGAGGGGATGATTCTAACGAAGTGACTGTATAAACGGCTTGAACGAAGTATACCCGAAACGCTAACCTGTTCAGGGTGTAGAGCGGAATATCGACGTACGGATTCACGGCAATTAAAATTGAACCGGTGTAGGTCTTAAACTTTTCCCTGGATTTTTGACGAATAAATTTACATACATAGATCAACTTCTCGCGATATCGCACGGAAATGTTACGAAGAATAGCGGCTTCGTGAAGATCGCCTAGCTGGGTCATGTCTTCCACGCCTTGTACGGACGTCGGGTGCATTAGCTTTACCCGGCGGTCGGAGGAAAGCCATTCTTCCTGAAATAACTTTAACGTCATGAAATCCATCAAAATTTAACGATTCAAATCCCCAATTCCCGTAAATTCTGAAATCCTATTTACCTTTCCGGCGTCATCTACAACCTTCAACTTTCCATGATCAGCGTCGATAACCCGTGCTCCGATTGGCACCGAGCCAGTCCCTTTTGGGGGCTCCACCCAAATAAAATCACCCTAAAATTTGATTATCTTCTGCATCCCAAAGATGCTAACCTTTGTGACGTGTACCATCGATAGGTCCTGATTTCTTAATACTCCATCTGGAACCTATAAAAACGTGAAATTGACGAGAACAGGGGGAGTTTAAGGTCGAAAAATGGCGTATAATCAGAGTATCCCAAGTGGAGAGCGAGTAAATATTGAAGCTATAAACTTCTTTGCACGGCCATTATTGCTCGGGTGATACGGGTGGAATGGAATGCGGGTAAAATCCGTGCTTTAAAGAGGAGATTCTGCAGTGAAATGCAGATTAGATGTTAGGAAGCTGGCTTAAACAAAGGCAAAAAAATACAATGAAAGTAATTTTGAAAATTCAGAGAATAGTTTTACCTTATTTGTTGTTCAATGGTTGAATTAGTAAGCTTACAAAATGAATGCAAAACGATTAGCAAATGACGAGTTGATAAAGACGATGTGGCACGGAATTTAGAGCAACATGGAAACTTTGGCAGTGGAAGCGGACGTTAGCAGATCACCAGAAGAGGACATACAGATATCGAGAACAACAACCCTTGAGATGACGACCTAACATGAAAGTATGCGACGTTTGTCTGTCTGTCCTCCATCCAGTGTATTGGATGGTGATAAGAAAGGCAGCCCTCCCGGCGGCCGCCCGCGGGCGTTTCGAAGCGATTCTCGTGCTCTCTCTCTTCCTCGAGCTCACCAAGAGTGGGGAATGTGGGTCAGGCGATTGGATATGTCCGATCGGTGGAGAGGATATGCAGTAAGCGGTCGAGACAGACAAGAAGAAACGGGAACACCACAAAGCCCCCTTCCCCCACCACAACCACCATCACCATCTCCACCCCCCTCCAAACATCCCCCTAGCGGACCTTTCCTCTCAATTAGCACAACTTCCCGCCCCGAGTCTCTTTAAGGGCACCGTTTAAAGAACCACTCCTGGATGGGATTCCGGAAAGTAGCATGGTGGTCGTGGAATGGTTTTAAAGACACGGGAAAGGGATTACTATGGATTTCCTAGGTTGCAGTTTCGTAAGGCACATAATTTGCTAAAATATTTGAAACGGATGCTGTAGGAGTGTAAAAAATAATCCACACATAAAACATTGCCAGGTCTTGTTGGTTTTTGAAAGGGATCAGGGAAGCCCGGATAAATTAAGCATAAATACGTTCAACTTCAAAATTAGCATAAAACGTTGCTGATCCCTGTCATTTCCGGTTGGCAACTTTCCAATTATAGAAGACCGCGGATCTACGCGGGCCTTCCTGATCCCTTTAAGAAGACGGGCAATGTAATTTTCAGGATGAACTTTTTATTATTCCAAATTCTTCGAAATTGTCCCTGGCAGCAGCAGCAATGCACTGACCTGCAATCCCGAAACCCTGCCCTGCTCCGGAAAATCGGACCGTTAATCAATTCCCGGGCGCTTTTGATGGGATTAACTGATGAGAGGCGACGGAATGAGATGTTTCTATCAATACAAAGCAACAGAATGGACATAATTGGACTAAGCCAACCAAGAAACTAAAGTTGCGCCAGCATACGAAAAGTGAGAACTGAAAGTGATGATTCGGAATTAAAATCAAGGACTAGACCACATTCTATTGGTGTTGACAGGAATGTGTGGCAGAATATTGTCAAGTTGCTGATCGGGAAAGAAAGTTGGGGGACGGCGTGTGCAATCTCGGGGCGATGACAGGGGCTGGATCGGAAGGCTGGCCGGGCGGAAATACCGTGTCAGAACGGATCGCCGCGCCCCGGCCGATAGCCAAAATGCCGAAAAAATGTGTCGACGGTTTCAAAGGTTTTTCTCGGAGGAGGTAGATATTATTCTAAAGGTGCGGCGAAGGGATTCCTTGAAGTAGGGTTCTAATAAACGGGGAGCGATAGGGCAAAATCCCAAAAAAAAATCAAAAGAGAAAATCGATCGATTTGGACCAAGTACATAGGTTTGAAGCGGCTCAAGAAGAATATTGTTGAGTCTAATATTGCATAAGCATTTTTGCATAAATTGGGAGGCGCAATAAAATTTTTAGCATAGAACTACAATTCTACTCTTTTAATTGCCAAGGAACTTACAAGACCAAACAAATATCCTAAGCTTTCTGAGGCCAGATTGTCATCAAAAAAGCCTCAAGCAAACCACTGAAACATTCCTTTCCATCCTGCGCCCCTACAAAAAAAAACCCCAGAAGAAACGAAGAGCAGAGGAGTTGCTCGTTCAGACCTTCCGCGGTCAAGACAAAACAGTCCCCACTACATTGTTTGGGCTAAGCGGGCTGTGCAAACATCTTTATACAAAAAAGTAAGGTCCTCCTCCCAACCGTTTCGCGTCTTCAAAAGGAGCCGCTTCAAGGTCAACCATGCTTTTTAAAGGGTTTTGGATTTTGGGTGGGTGGGTTGGGGTTACGGGGGAAAAGGAAGAATAAGGCCTTTGGAGGTGGAGAGCCAGGTATGGCACAAATATCCCCTTCATCGTGTACATAGCCTGACGGGTTCAGATTACTTGGGTCAATTATTGCGCATGACTCAAAGGAGGGGATTCAAGTATGGCTTTCGGGGAATTTAAGAAGTGAAAATTTACGTGGAATAAGTTAATTTTCGGAAATATTGAAGTGTTATGGTCATTATATATCTAACTTTCGTAACTAAAAAGTCAAACCTCAAAAGATATTTCACTAACGTAAAAATAAAAAGCTATCAAATACATCGATTACTTTATCTATTTTCATTAATCGACATCAAGCATTCAAAACGATAAACTTAAAAACGAATCGTAGTTTATAGAAAGATCCAGCCGTAGCTAACCAAAAATTCCGAACCCGGTAATAAAAAGCCCCAAACCATCGCGCCGGTGCAAATACGAGAACGCGCTCACAAATCGATAAGCATGTAAACTTGAAGGCCGATAAGGAATTCGGGCAAAGGGGGGCAAAACTAATTTTTGGCTTAGTCTGAATTCTTTTCTGATGAGTCTTAGGGGTCGTGATAAGCAGGCTGTTCCGCCGATTTTTTGGTCAGGTTTAATTTAGCCGGGCGGAGACTCTCATTCTTTAGGTTTCGTTAGAGTACTTCATGGTGCAGAAATGAACACGGCGTTTGGTAAACGTGTTCGTTGGTGTGAATTGGACGCAATAAATAAATGTAATAAAAATTGGAAGTGATGAGCCTCACTGGTAGGTTAACTTCCAATTCAGGAGGTTGAGGATCACAAAATAGCCCCGTTTAATGGATTAGCATGTCTTTTTCAATTTGTTTAATTGTTATAATGTCTAAGATGCTTTTCCGGGAAAACAGCTATTTATCGATTGATAGAACTCCGTAGTTGGCAGCTGCAGTTAAACAAAGCAAAAACTTGTAGAAACTATCAGTAAAAAAACAATAAACACTGCATTAGCTGTATGTACAAGTCGAGACATGCCCTGACTCATTTTTAAAAAAGGTGCGGAAAGGCTGATCGGAAGCCCCGACGGGGGGAGAAGCTGGAATCTGCTCTCCCCCCAGGGGTTCGCGGTGTCCGGGAGGGGACAAGGAGGGGGGATGGTTTGTCGTAGGCCCAGAGGAACCGAAGGAAGGGCGAGGTAGAAGGAGGCTTCTGCTCTCAGGGGTTCCCTCAGCTTTTGATGCGCCTTGTCTAACGAGCTAGTGGGCAAATAAGGTCGGAGGGAAGGGCCTGAACCCCCCCCCCAGAGGGGGCCCAAGAAGACTGTGGGTCGGGACGGGACCTCCCAGTCCGTCGGACACCTCCTTCCAACACCCGGGCATACAGACACACACAAACACACACAACGCACAATATCCTCAACGCTCTCCATCCAGAACCATCCGGCCTTCTTCTCTTGGCTCTTCCATCATCCCTGGAGAACAAAACATCCGCCATGCGGAATTGACGATGGATACAGAAAGTGCGGTGGAATGAAAATGATGAAGGTGTAGATATCAAAGAAGCCTGTATTTTATGCTAGGCCTAGACAGAACCAAGTTTTTTCCTCAAATTGTTGTTTTGGTAAGACTTTACTTTACCCCCCCTCAGCTGAAGGGTCTCAAAGTTTTCGGTATTTTCGCTTATTTTGACGGGCTTTTTGCAACACATTCGATTAATATATACTTAAAAGTTATATTGTTTATATATTAAAATATTATTATTTATTGATCAAAATATACTAGTGCTTCGAAAAATTAACTAAGAGTCTTAATTTGAGCCTACAATAATGTAAAATAAAAAAGTTATAGCCAAAACATTCCGGCTGGGGGGGGGGGTGAAGTAAAGTGTAGCCGTTGCTTTTGATTGTTTCACTAAATTCGAAAACCCAGCTTTTGTTAAAACTACTCCAAAACCAGTCATCCCTTCACACGGCCCATAAGGCCCATACTCGCCCTCTCCCCCTCCGGCCTGTTGTCGTCGCAAGGGCCCACCCCAAGCCCCCAAAGGGCCCACAACGGCTAACGGATCTAAGGACAATTTTTTGTGGGGCCCACCTCGTCACCAGGCAACTCACACCACGCTTCCAACCCCAAAAAACACTTCTCCATCTTGGGTGCTTTACTAAAATGGCACCAACCGTACAGTTACATCATGCTCGTAGCTATATACGAACGCCGACCGGATTGATTCATGTGCTTTGCATTGTAGGTTAATTTGCATAAGTTATAATGTATAGTTAATAAATATCATCCAATATAAAAACAAGGGTCAACCGTGGCTGCATTAATATAGAAATCCTGGACTAATATAAGGATAGGTTTTTCAATATATATATTTTTAATTTACTAACTGATTTTACTTAGCAAATTGCATTCGCATTAAAAACGGTCCAAATAGCTTTTAGTTTGTAAATCTTGGCACACTATTGGCTTGCGGATTGCGATGGACACAAGAAGGAGACGTATACGTCCAGGTAAACATAAAAATAAATCAATTTACAGTTTCAGTTAATATTTGCCGAATTTGTATGGCAAACCTTTGTTATGATTTGCCTCTTCATCTCTTTCTTCATAAGCATGGTCCTCTTTATGTCAAAAATTGCCAATCCTACTTCAATGTTTGCGAGGATAACCAATAAAATGGTAACTAATATCGCACTATTTAAATTGTGAAGTATTCAGGCAATAGCATTGGTTATGTTTTGCATAGTCATCGCCGGTTTGGTGTTTGTTATCGAGCTATGGTATATTACATCCGGCCGTAATTCATATACAAAAATGTACAAAAGAATTGTGGTTGTTATGGTAAGTATCTTGGATTATTCTTATAAAACACTTTCAGGTGATGGCTTTAATAATGCTAGTCCTATTGGCGGTGTTGGTATGCTTTCTGATGATGCCGATCTCCTCGAGTATTTCTCCAAGACCAGAGCCTCCAGCTCCACAACCTGTACGACATCATGAGCTCCCACCGTATTCCCAGAATGCTCCAAAAAGTACTAATCCATTTGATGAGACGAGCCCGAGAATTGAATAAACCTTTTTTCAGTTACCGACCTACATTTTCAAGCCAACAAATATCATCGTCAAATAGTTTGAAAACTTTTAATGATTTGGCCGTATTGTTGTAATAATATGCAAAAATCGTATTCGCAATGGGTTTGTGGGATGTGAATAACCCTGCCGTTTCGGGGAGAGGCGAAACAAAAAAGATCGAGGTGTAAACCGGGCTCTATAAAATTTCTCTTTTGTTAATCTTCCCTTTTGTTGTTTACAGGATTTTCACAGAATTCCAAAAACAAAGATTTTTACAGAAACTACCTAAAAATTGGGTGCGCTTAAAACCATTGCTTACAGTTGTTTATGACCCGGCTGATTCCGTCCCCCAATTTGTCATATGGTCATCAATCAAAGGGTCATATTTCACCGATTGGTACCATATGAGTACCCCTTAGAGTTGCCGTTTAGCCAGTCCTTCCTTCCGAAAACCTTTAAACGGACCCTTCCGTCGATTTGATCGGGTCATCGATGGATGGTAGCCAAATGTCAGCGGAAAAAGGCGAGCCCCATCCTCCCGGAGCAGAGGGCACACCGTTTCACAGCCCTTGGCATCCATTAGCCCATCCCTCTGAATCATCTTTTTCTAGAACGGAACACTTTTGGCGGTTGTTTTCGTAGTTTTTTTTCATCGGAGTGATCGGTTCATGCAATATTTCTAAGGGAACTCTTCTGGAGATATTTACTACGTTACCCTACCAAACAGCAAAATTATTCTAAAAAGTTCTCAAAACTTCCGGCCCCAAAATTTTGCTGCCTTTCATTATTAAAAAAATTTTATTTTTTTCACTTTTTGAAGCTATGATACCCTTTCCAGAACCCTCAACGCAGCCCATCATTCAAACGACACTATCGAACAGAAGCCTCGAAAGCTAAGGTAAGTTATTTTCGACAATCCGGTGTCGGCAAACAGTGCTTATACATTCCCTCCAAATAAAACCTAATTTCTTCAAAAATTATTAAACATTTTGCAGGAATCCCAGCCCAAATACAAGGTGCATCCCACGCAACGGCGCTGGATTCCTCAAACCCCGACAAGTTGTCTTGAGCTCCAGTAGTAAAGAAACGAGCCCGTGGTAGAAAAAACGGCTAGAAAATAATGCCTAATATGGATCCTCCCAATCGGTGGATCGATCACCCCTTGGCAGGGCATGTTCATGTCCAAAGCCCCTGGACTGGAAGCAGAGTACAAAGCTCCAGAATCGACACGAACTTCGATCACCTTCGAATTCTGACCGTCGGCGATTACCGCAGAATTGACGATTGCTCTCAAATTCATGGCATAACTGCCCATCGCCGCGGCAATAACGCAAAATTCCGATCACCGGAATCCCACGACTTCCGGATATTGTTCATTTTCGGAGCCATGCTCAGACGGTCCCGGCGCACTACATTGCGCAACCCGACGCCCCTCCGGCTGTAATACCCGGACCAAATGTCATTGGCGATAACGTGACGATCCTCAAGCCTCCATACAGCAAAACCCTGCCCATGCTGTATAGGATCATTCAAATGAGAGGCAATCGCACGGTATTGCTCGAATCAATGATCTTTGGAGTTGTTCTACAAACGAGAAGAGTTGAGATTTATCACATTGGACAAGGATTCTTGGAATCGAACCGGAGGAGTGAGGGGTGTCGTAGCCTCCGAAATGCAGCATCGGAGATTTGGTATGGGTATACAACCTGACCTGCCAACATGTTGGCCATGTGCCGAGAGACATGCAAAAAGCCTGGAAGATGCCGGCAAACGAGGTGTTTGCGTCGAAGAATTGGCCCCAGTTTTCCGAGCCCTGGAATTCGATCTCATCACACCTAGCTGTAGACCGCCCGTCTGGTGCTATGTCGTCAAAACTTGGAAGTCAACGGCCCAAATTGCGATAAGCGGTGAAGCTAAGCACTGTGAAATCACATGTGCGAATAACCAAGGGCATAGAATTGACACGGAGGGCGAGATCCTAGAGTGCCGACCGAGAATGGATACACCAGCCTCTTCTATCTGGCTACTACTCCAATCAAAGGAAACGACCCATATATTATCAGGATCATCAGAGAGACAGAACCGACTCTACCAAACAACCAGGCACCCCGTCCCACTTGGATCGGTCCCGCCCCTGACGGCATAAAAGCTCAAGTCTCGGACCAATTGAATAGGTTCACCGCGTATCGCGACAATCATCGCATCGCAATGGAAATCATGAGGCAGCGTCTGTTATTGGCAACATCTTACCACGAGGTTTGGAGACCAACAAGCAGGATCGTCAACGACGAAACGCTATTTTCGTGATAAAGAGAGACCGAGAAAATCAGAGGATCGTGAGGTTTCAGTTCGAGATCAATGGAAAGGTGAGCGCTGAAGGATGGCATCCTGGAAGCAAAATTCGGTGATGAGCTTGTCGGTTCCAAAATGTTCATCTTTGGAAATGTGACTTCCTGTGACCGCAGCGACGATGATGAGCCGCAAACAGCCAAATTTGAAGCCCTTCCCCTTGAGCGTGAGCTCGAACGCCTAGCCCGGATTCGATGATGGGAGGAGCACCACGGAACAGCTTATTTGATGCCATCTGCGCGCCCTAAGTCCTGGATCATATCTACACTTGAGCGCGGCTTTGATCATTTGAGACCCACCGATTTCGCCTATCAAGCATTCGATGCTATGTACTCAGCACAACGTGGAGCCGCATTTACGACCAGATCCCGGTCACGCAGTTTGAAGAACCCGCAGGAGAAATCCCGAGGGACTTTTCGGAGAAAGGGACATGAAATCCAGATGACGAATGAGCAGAGGCAGGCCATTGATCTATTATCCGGAGACTACCAAACTGGAGCTGTATTCTCCCCTTTGGAGCCGGGAAGACGGCGATAATCGGCGTGGCCGCACAATATCGCGCATCATTGTCCGACGGAACCACTCTGTTAATTGCGAGCACCAACAATGCTCTGACCGAGGCAATCGATGCCTTCCTCGAGACATCGATCTCCGAGGCAAAAGGAATATTTTGTCCACCACCATCTGGCAGATGGAGTTTTCAATGCCAGGGAGTCCATGGGCACTATGACTAACCTTGCTGAACAGACATGCGTGGACCCGGAGACAGATATGTGCGATGCTCTTTTCCTTCGAGAATTTGTCGAAAATCGGCATCTATTAAAGCTATATTTGCAAGGCCAGCTCGACCTCCCTGAGAGTGTCGAAGAAGCGGAGAGGGTGATGATCGATATTGAGTACCCCAGCAAGCACATCAAGCGGGTATATGAATTATTATGCCACTACCGTCCAGCCAGCGTTCTTGGCTTAACATTTGGGAGCCTAAACGGATTGTTAAAAGGACTTTTCAAGGAGCATCTCGACTCGATCAGCAGCATAATAGTGGAAGAGGCATCAGATGTGTCAGAGGCAGGGCTTGTAGCCCTGCATTGTCTTTTCCCTAATGCTAATATCTATTTGGTTGGAGATATCCGTCAGAGCCAACCTTACACAATGATAAGGTCAGAAGATCCCATCCATCCCTGGGCCATGCGACCAGCGTTGACCGTCGCTTTGAACTCGGATCTGGTGCCAAACGTTGTGCTCACGACCACTTATAGATCACATCCGGCAATTACGGACGTTGTCAGAACGATGTTCTATCGCAACTCCTTCACGACACCGATTCGTGAGGCGGATCGCATCCTTTCACCCGAAGGACGGGATTACCAATCGTATTTGTGCTCTATCCCGGCACTGATCACCGGACGCATAGTGGAAGCAGAAGAAGCCTAGATGAAGCTAAGCTGGCCATGCGTCTTGTGATACCACTCCTTACGCATTTCCCTGCCGATCAGTTGCTTCTGATCAGCTACTACAAGTCACAACGCACACTTATTGAAAGGATGATCAAGGAGAACCAAGCGATCCCGAATAAGCCAAGATTCGCAACGATTGGAAGGGATCCGGGGAAGTCAGGCGGAAGTAGCGATTGTATTGACGACTTACTCGGGAAAACGTAACGGAAGTGCGTATTTCAATTCCCGGCATAGGGCATGCTTCGCGTTGACAAGAGCTCGTCAAGGATTGTGGTCCTTGGTACCAGCATGAGCCTTGAATGCGGCCCATGGGGGCTCTCTTTGACTTGGCACGTCTGAGGGTTGGGTGATGGACATCGATGCTTTGATCGGGATGCTGTAGTGGTATGTAGCTTTTCAAATACTAATAATTAATTTGGTTCGAGGTCTGGGGGAAACTTTGCTCATCGCTAAACGTTTGAATACAGCTAAAAATTATAAGATTTATAATTAGAATTATACGTGCAGTTCAAATCGAACATTTTCAGTGACTGCCACTTCTCGGCACACCCTTGTCGATGGCTGAATATGACAATTAGTAAGAATTATTGAGAGTCGTTTTCAAAGGAATGATTTTTTGGAAATTTCGGCAATTTAGAAAAAAATCCAGAATGTTTTTGGCCTTTGTCTTCAAATTAATTTGCCGATTATGCAATATAAAAATAGAATCATATTGCACGGTAAACAACTTATTTTTTTAGTTGACGACAACTCTTCCTCTCCCTTTTCAATGGCTGGTGCTGCAGCAGAACCTTGCTAAAAACCACTAAAAAGCCAATCATTTTGCATGCAATAAACCCGCGTTGTTAACTGTTCATTTTTCAGTAAACTACATTTAACAATTCATCCTTAGCGTTCAAAAATATTTTCTGTGGGCGCTGTCTTGGGGCGTTGTTGAGATTATCATGCGAATCAAAATATTGGCTCTAGGCTTCACCCGGCTGCGTGCAACTCAGAGATTTCGCGGGGATGGGTCAGTGGAAGTTTCTGTTCGTGCGATGACTATTGTTTGCGAAAAAATCGTCGGGGCAGGCCAAGGAGGTGGGAGGGAACGGATTCGTGACCCTTCTCACCCCATGCTGGGAATGCCCTACGTCGGAGAGAACGGCTCCAAAACAGCTCAAAGACCTGTCTATGGCAGTCTGGAGGATCGTGTTTCTTAAAAATTCACGTCATTCTAGGGATTATTTACGTATTAATTGAATGTAATAAGATGAAAAGATCGGGCTGAACGTCTTGAACTTGTCGGTGGGATTTGAGGGATTTCATGGCTTTATACTAAATTTTATCCTCTCAGTGTCATTAAACGAAGGTTGCGAATTTTCTTTCTAGTTGATGGCGACTCTCCCTTTTTCGAAATATTTTGTTTAATTAGTATAATATTATTACAATTTCTACGACATCAAGCTTAGGAATAATTATAGGTTTTTATGGTCGTCTTAGAGGCTCGTATAGACAACTAAGGTATCTAAATCTTCTATAACATACCAAAAATTAGCAAACCACCTGATCTCTTCCATCACCCACACCAAAAAACAAGCTTATTATTATTCCTGAAGTCAGCAGCCGGGGCCATTACAAGCATCGTTTGCTATTTGCTTTCATCTCCATCCATCCATTCTCTTTTGGCAACCGTTTTGGGGCGGAATATCTTCGTTGGATGGTCACATTTGGACAAATACGGCTCGATAAATAAATCCCCGCCCCACCAAAACGCTTTTGCCGTCCCGAGCTTGGGAGTGTGGGGGGTGGGGGCTTGAAATGGGGAAAAATCTGCACAGATTCCCGGATCTGGGATATTAGCGGTTTTTATTCCGTTTGTTAAGGAATTTCTGGGTAAAGGTTATTGTGGTTTAGTGGAGTTTCGAAATTTTTGGGGCAGATAACATGATTTATTGACTTTTCAAATGGTATTTTGTTTATATTTTTTCGACCTTGTAAGAATATTTAAATCCTTTGATGATCTGATTTTGTGTTTGAATTCTTTTGCTTCTTGGCTGTGTACAATGCAATGATCTTAAGGCCCTACGCCCTGATAAAGGAGCTTCGTGTATTAAGATCAAGAAAAACGTTTTCGAACTTGTTTCTACCTTCAAAATTCATTTTCGCATTTCACAACCTTCGACAAAAAGTTACCCCCGAATTCTAAACGCCTCTTGTTATATGTCGTTTCTGTAGATGTCGAATCGGTCTTCTCCAGCCTTTTTCTCATCGATCCATGGCTGTGCCGTGGGGAACATCGGAAAGCGATTGCCCCGGCCATTTCCCCCCGTTTCGACCGCTTCATCCCCCTAGCCGACCGACCGTTGACCGCTATCCAATTTTGATGTCGTTTTGCAGCCCCCGCTTTTGCCCTCCAAACTCGACGCCCCGGGATGGGCTCATATTTTTTTGCCAACAGTTATTGATTCTCGGAGTTTTTTGTGGAGTCTCTCTTTTGGACTTACACGTTGGAATTCAGGGGGCTTTTGATGCCGATTGAGGCTTGTGGTAGCTATTGACGGGAATATCCTTTTTCGGATTTTACTTTGATTTCTCAGATTTTCGTCTGGACGACAGGCTAACAAGGAGTCGTTTTTGGGTGATATTGGAGTTTTTGGACGAGACCTAGCTAGTTCGATAGAGAAAAAAATTCTGAACAAGATGTCGGTTTCCAAATCTGCTAACCGTATACTGTATTCAATAAAAATTAATTTTAATGAAAAATTCCTGGACGTCAGGCTGCGACCCATGGATCAGGCCCGGGACATAGCCCACAGCGCGAACCAGCATCCGCATGAGATGGTGGCCTAGTGGATAGTGCCGGCGCCTATCAAACTTTTGCAAAATTATGCCCAGGGTTCGGAACTTATTGTGATTTATTGTTTTGCTTTTTGGTTTTTCATGCCATTGAAATCGAATTTGGCATTATCGAGCAAAAAGCAAAAGAGTTTTACTAGCGAGGAGTCGAACCCGCTGGCAAAAAAAGACAAAAACTTATGAAGCAAGCGCACTACCAATAGGCCAGCTGGTCATGGCTGGAGGGAGGCCTATAGGGGGCTATGTTGACGCGCACCCAGAGCGCAGAATCTGCGGATCAGGCGTAAAATGATGGTTAGATTAATGATTTTCAAATTAATTTTTATTGAACAGCGTACACGGTTAGCAGATTTGGAAAACGACATCTTGTTCAGAATTTTTTTCTCTATCGAACTAGCTAGGTCCCGTTCAAAAACTCCAATATCACCTAAAAACGACTCCTTGTAAGATTTCTTATTCCTGGATCCTTATGGTTATTTTCTTTTAATCTTACCATTCTCTCGGCCGCTATCTCTCGTCTCTCTCTCTCTCACTCTATGTCCCTTGCTCTCCCTCTCTCCCGCATTTTCTATCTCCCTATTCTAGACATCTATAGCATATTTTCTCAATTTTAAAATAATTTAACCTGCTCTACTTTCCTTTCATGTAGACAATAGAGGTCATCCCGTTCCTGAATTTTATTACTATAAAGCTCTTATTCGGCTGCATTTTCCCATTTTTTCTTTTCTCGCAATCTGCCCAGCCTACTCCACAATTCCCCATTGATTTAATTCTCCCCCAACATTCCACGCGGCCAAAACCATCTGCTCCCATTCGCTTAAAAACTACCCCAAATTCCGGGAACAAAATCCCCATAGACGCGAACTCGAAACTGTTCGCTTGCTCTAGCAGTAACTGGACAAAAACCGTTCCAAAATTTAATCTGCTCGTTACACGGCATTGCGCGGCCAACCCCCGGCTCCAACATTGATTAGCCGCCTTTTTTCGATGACGCTTCTGGTGATGGCCCGAAATAAACCGGCAACAAGAGTCAAACCACTTTGTCGTGTAACCCGGAACGAGTCTCCCCACAATCGTTTGCCAGACGAATCAAACCGACGCGGGCAAATGTCCCCCGCGTCTGGGAGCCTATTTCGAAAGTTTTCGGCTCGATGACTGCATCCGAATCGCCAGCGTTTTTTTTGGTGTCGAAACCTCTTAGTTAGGATTTTTTAAGCTATCCCGGTATCGTAGAGGTACCGGTAGAAGAATCTTCCCGTTTGACAATTTAGCTGCAAATACTCTCTTTATTTTCCAGTCTTAGGTCCTAAGACAAAAATTTTACCTTCCGTATGATAGGTCCTCATATGTACAACGGCCGTGAGATATGTAAAAATTTTATCTCAAAAATCGGTTACCGATCTTTGTTCGGCCATATCCGAAAGTGCGCTAGTGATATAAAAAAAAGCAAAAAAGCCATCATTGCAACAGTTGTATCTAAATTGAATATTATATAGATACCAGACGACTCTAGCTTTAAAAGGCCGTGAAGCGGTGTTTTTGAGTTCTGGTCCAAAGTTAATTCTGGAGCAGCCAGTGTCACGTCCTAGACAAAACATTAATGAAAACGCCTTGTTTCCTCCTCCCAAGCGATCTCTCAACGCGAAGCCAGAATCGTTCTCGTTTTCCGGCTTCTAAAATGGATACTCTGATGTATTTCTTGTATAAAATAGATGCAATGGGAGCCCTCGAACGTGGGATATCACTGGCTGGCCCATTGTCTATGAAACAGACTGGCGGAGGTAGATATATTTTTTAACGAAAGATTGCAATATTATTTTAGCCCTCACTTATCTACGCGTGAAAAAAACGATATTACTTTGCTCTGGATGAGATCAGCCACAAGATTTTTGTACTACAAAGATGAGGCGGATTTTATAAAGGTATTTTTCTGGTTTTTGTTCGCTATACGATGAATTTTCAGAAGAAAGAGCCGATTGGGGACATTGAGTTGAACCAGGTCGTCTTCACTACATCGGAATCGAACTGCAAGATTTTTTATATACAGTAAGATCCACTTTTTGTCGTACAAACGTGTTTAGTAATTCTGGGAAGCGATGGGAGATAGAGGCGGACAACGAGAAGAGTTGTCAATGTTGGCTAGAGGCGTTGTCTAGGCGAAAGGGGTTGCCTGGAGCTGAGGTTAGGACGAATTAGGATATGTTAATTTTGGATTTAGCATCAGATTATACCCAATCATTTTCATCGGTATGCTTGGAAGAAGTCGAGGAGTCATTCATTGCCGGTGGGTTCAAAATTTTTCCGGGAGCTACGGAACCTTGAAATCAGCGTGTGTTTTTCTACCAACAATAAGTTATATGTTAGTAATTTGATCTAATACACCGATATAGCAAGAATATGTTCAATTAAATTGACGCAACCGTCCAATAGGGATAATTTTACAACCATAGATTCTTGTCTTCATGATTCGCTATGTAGAAATCCGCAGATTTCTTCATTTACGCTTTTAAAGCCATTTTGACATTCGATATCGTTATCACACCTATTTACAAACAATACAAATATTTCCCAACTTCTCTATCCATTCCATTTTATAGACACGGAACCAACATTGCTCGCAGATCCTTTGTTTCAACCCCATCTCCCCGGCGTAAACTCACGGGACGTCATCTGAATCCCCCGCAATTGTGTCAATATCACCGCTGCCACCCGCGCGCTCATTTCATTTCTTTCTCTTTATGTATATATCCATCTAATAAAAACATTCTCCACGGGACCTAGGCGCGAACAGACAGTCTCTAGCCTTCTGTCAGCCCCAAAAAATTTGCGGCGTCCCGCTATCAAAACCAATATTTCCCCCACTCAATATCTGGGGGTTGAGCCCCCCATACATTGCATTCCACTCAAAATTGGAAATGTATCTCTCATTCGCGGATATTTTTTGAACTTCACGAACTTTGCTTCAATAATTCCCCTTTTTTTTATTTTAGAGCGAAACCGATTTGGTTAACAAGCGAAACGGTGGGCTGAACGCTGAAGACGCTTGTTCGCCCAGGAAATGTTCGTTTTTCTTGTTTTGGGAATCGGAAATCGATGGTGGGGGTGTCACCGTTTTTTGTCTCAGAGCTTTTCAGTGTGTGCTGATCGCTTTGGACCTGAAACCCTTGAATGCAACAATTTTTTAAGATTCTTGCAACGAAGTTCGCGGCGACGATTCTGAAGATTCAACGTTCGCGCTGTCGGTCCTCGAGGAGAAGCTGCGTCGGATTGGGGCGATCGGGTGGAACGATACGTCGAGTGAGGGTGGTAGTGAATGTACAACTACTGAGGAACCACCGGTATGTATAGTACTTTAATATAACAAAATTAAACGGAGATATTCAACAATTAATCTATTTAAGTCAATTTTCTAGGTGATCGTTCCCGCGGCCCCAATCTGGCTTGATGAATGGGTTCATAAATGGCTTCAACAGCAACCGTCATTTTTGGCTGAAAACGGACATCATGGTCATAATGTCTCGCCACCGTAAGTTGAAGTTTGGTACTGGACTGATTGGGGGGGGCGGAATAACGCCCGGTAGGTCCCCAAAAAAGAAAAATCCGCCATCTAGGTAGATTTTATAAAGTTGTTAAATGACGAATTTAAACAAAGTAAGACTCATTCAAGGTTTCGCAAAATATGGTGTTTTTGAAAAAAAAAACCCCGTGTATGGTAGTGTAAATATAGTGGTTTCGGAAATTTTAAGTGTTCTAAGATGACCTTAGTATTCCAAAACTAGTAAAAGCAATACAAAACCGCTCTATAAAATTCTAGGTTTAACCACATCCTCATCGGAACTCTCTGTTCTCTGAAACAACCCCACCTTTTTTTTGCAGTTTCCCTCAATCCCGTGCTTCCACCCTGATTCTCTGTCACCCCTCTCATTTCCACGCAACTCTACATGTACCAAAAAACTGACCACCGACATCTCTCATTCTGTCAATATAGACATCCCCGTACGGATGCCCTTCCACGCGTCCAGTATTTGCCCCGGGTTCCGCTACAAAAACTGTCCGCCACCCATCGGTCCCCCCCAATTTTTCGGGGATTTTGATGTTTTTCGGTTTGGATTCCGGCCCGCCCCAGACACCCTTGCCAACCACAAAATTTTACAGCAACTCGCTGGTGTCGTCCGCGGAAACGTCGCATTGCCAGAGCAACGACTGCTCGTCGTTTACGAGTGAATTGTAGGAAAAAAATAGAATGCAAGAGGAGGAAATTTAGGGCTGAGCAAGAGGAGCTGAATAAGCTGAGAATGATTGACAATCGGCAGAAGGAGCGGATCCATCAATTGAGCTGTGAGCGGAAGCTGCTGCATGATCAGATTGATGACCTCAAGTAAGACTTAAAAAGTTAGAAAGACCTCGTTTTAAGAAAAAAGACGCTTGAAGCAACTCCAGAAGGCAGGCAGCTACTGCAAAATCAGAATCGTTTTCTGAATGGTGAAGTGCTCCGTTTAAACAAGAGATGTACTGAGCTAGAAACTCGGCTAAGAAATACCTCTAAGTAATTTTAACTTTAGAAAAAATAATTAAAGTTTTCTCATAGTTCTTTGGCGGTGGTTCGGGATGAACTCGAGCGCTACAAACGTGAATATGTGTTTTGTCTGCAGTCTTGTATTCGGATCCCCTTGCACGATAACAATTCGCTTGATGTGGTCCAGGTCAAACTCTACGGCGGTGATGTGGTAAGGATTCGTTACGTTCGATACAATAATTTATCATTTTAGCATCAGAGGCGTATTACCGAGTTGTTGGCAGCAGCTAGAGTGGAAGATCCGAGCTTACCGACTTTGCAGAGGTTAGTTGATACGTCTCAAACTTTAGTTATCAATTTTCAGCATCGTAAACGGAACCTACGTCGACGCATACGGATTTCGCCATTTCTATCCAGATTATACCCTTGCTCTCCATTTCGCAGCCACGCAACTTCATCAATTCTACAGTGACCGTCTCGAGTCAGCTCAAGAGCACCGTAGACGCTGGAAACATTTCCTAGAATCCCATCCAACCATCCCACTTTGTGTAAAAATACTTAATTCAGCGCCTACCAAAATTCAGAAGGAATCAAAGCAACTAGTCCGAGCTGGAATCCCGAGTGGAATGAGAAGTACTGTCTGGAAGATTTTGATCAATCAGCAGGTAATACTGTCGCTAAAAATAATATAATCAGTAACATCTTGAAAAGCACTAGATATCCAACTACAATATAAATTACAATCAAACTTAAACTAAAAAACAACGGTTTCAGGTCCTTGATATGAAAGTCCAGTATGGAAAGTACTACTACCGTAACCTGTGCAGCTTACAAGGAGGGGAGGCTGAGCGTTTGGTAAGAAAAAAAAATCAAATTCAAACGTCTCTTCCAGTTCTGCAACCAGCACCAAAAACAAATCAATTTGGACCTGCTGAGAACAATGCCGAACAATATCCATTTCATGTCGGCTAATTGCAAGGGGGTCGCACAACTTCAGCAAGTTCTACGAGCCTTCTGTCTCCATAATGGGTCATTGGGCTATTGCCAGGTAATAGGAGACAGGCAAAAAGAATTGTCAAAATTTAGGGGATGAACTTCCTCGCTGCAACGGCGTTGCTCTTCGTCGGTCCTGAAGACGCTTTTTGGTTCTTGATCGCCTTGACTGAAAAATTCTTCGATAAGTCATACTTTGACGACAGTCTGGCTGGAGCCCAATCGGATCAGGTTCGAATTATTAAAAACAACAAGTACTGAGCCTTTGGGAGGTCCTCAAAGAACTTCTGGAAGCCAAATTCCCCGAATCCAACAACATCTTGATCTCTGTGAGATCGAGCTAGCCACGATCACATTGAATTGGTTTATTGCTCTGTTTTTCGATGCTGTACCATTTCATGTAAGTCTTCTGTTTGATTTCCAGAATATCGAATTTTAGACGCTTCTTCGTATTTGGGATTGTTTTTGCTTGAAGGGCCGAAGGTTTGTCAAAACTCCTAGTCGTAATCTGAAGTGGCATAGGTCCTGTTCCGCTTCAGTGTGGCTCTGCTTGGGATGAATGAAGTTGAAATCCTCCAGAAAAACGATACTATTGGCATTATGAAGATCGTCAAGGCGGCTGTGAGGTTGACCTACGATATTGATGGGCTGCTGATGGTAGAAAACAAAACTTATGACGTAAAACCCTCAATTTAGCAAGCATTCTGCGACCTGAACCCATTTCCATCTCGTGTTCAGCTACTGACAAAGCAGCAAGCTGTCCTGACATTACTTCAAGAAAAGCTATCCAAAAGACAACACCGCCGGGATGCGCTGACCAGCTCGGTAAGTTTTTTACCCGTCGATTTTATCACAGTTGTTCAGTGTGACTCCGCTTATGCTTCATCAACTACCGAACCTAATGACGTTCCGATTTCGGACCTTGCAATGTCAACATATTCAGACGGTATACCTAATATCTAGTCGTATTGCGTTTTAATCTAGGCACCGGTTTCGTCGTTGCTGGCAATCAACATATCGGGTTCATTGGAAAATTGGTTTTGGAGCCGATTTTGAATAGAATGCATCGGATTGACATCGAGGTATCGATTTGAAGCTTGACACATCTATCCCTTTTAGTTTGATTGCCGGGTCGTTTCTCTCGTCATCGTGCAACCGGAAATGGCGTTTGCCAGTTTAATCTCTGGATATATCGTTGCACTACATTTGGAGGGGAATGAATGGTGGGGAACTCTAATACTTTAGTCTTTCAATTTAATAATAATAATAAATTTAAATTTAGCACTATTCTGTGGGAGTTGAAACTCTCAGACGTGGCTTTGAAACTGCTACATGACGGCAACCGAATTATTGCTGCACTGGCTAATGGCACGATTACCATTTTGGAGGTAAGAATCCAGGACGTTTCAAACTGCGATTTTTTAGAATGTGATCGAAAAAGCTCCGACCAGCCTTGAAATGCTTCATCTTCCTATTGGGTCAGCGCCCATCAATGAAGCCGTTATATTTGGGGATCTTCTATGGCTTGCTGTGGCATGTCGAATTGTTATTCTGAATCGAGAGTATGTTTGCAAGGTCAAATAGTTACGTAAAAAAAACCTAGGTCATTCTCTCACGTCTCGTCAATCTACGTCGCATGTTCAGCTAGTGGAAGTGGTACACCGTTTTTTGAAAAGGTCTAGAAAGTCCCTCAGTTTCGAATACCATCCAAAATTAGATCGTTTGCCTGTGCACTATCCCCATTCGGTGCCTTTGTTGTGACAGCAAACTCGACGCTGATTCAGCTGTGGACCGAGGGGGAAGGCTTGTGGCTTGCTATTCGATATTTCCTTCGACCATAGCTATCGGTACGAGAGGAAACTAGGCATACACAAAAACACATCATAGGAAACCATCTTTGGATGGATATGGCGAAGAGGAGCAATCGATCCATATTGCGGCATTGGCATTTTTGGATGGGATTCTTTGGGTTGGGACGAGGATGGTTATGTGATTATGTATCAAGTGGAAGAAGTCGTTGGCGAATCAAAATATCGTGTCCATCGGTATGATATTTACGACCATTTGGGTTTAAGTTTTTTTAGCTATCCGGCCGGTCGAAGGATACAACCGAAAAATTCGCCAAATAGCGGAAAAGATGGACGGATTGCTCTTTGTTATATCCCGACAAGGGAAGAAACACGGCTGGATGAAGCCGCTGAAGGGTTGGAAAGCCCGAATAGAGCACCTAGGGAAAGTGTCAGTCCGGATTGACAAGGATACGAACAAATACAGCGGTATTTATTTTTAATTAGTCCTAGTAGTCTTATTTAGTACTTGTCGCGAAGATGAGATCAAAATCTTTCAACAACAAGAGCACACTTCCACAGAGGTATGGACAAGGAACTCCATTTTATACCGAATTTCCTTCAGAAAACCGAAGCTCAGCACAAATAAGCACATTCAACTGACGAAAGAGATCAGTCATGATTCGGCAGTTTCCGTTTTCTCTCACGGTAAGGCTTTCAAAACCAACTTTCTTCCATGCTTTTCATTTCCAGATGAACATCCAGACATCAAAAAGGCGGAATTGGAGCAGCAACGTGTCGAGCGGTAACTAAAGTCATCTTCGATCCACAAAAATGCGCTTCCAGAGAGCGCCGTCTTCGCGTTCTCCGAGCCTCAACTGGCTCTAGCTCAATCTCAATGGATTACGACGACCAATTTGAACTCTACTCTGAAGACGGCTTTGGTAGTAGGCTAGCAGTTCAGTTTATTATTTGGCTTTAGGAAAACGACTCCGCCGCCTCTCAGTCCCCACCATTCGAGCCATCGAAAATGGTTCATCAACCATGGACTTTGGTGGGAAATGCATTTCTTTTTGATTCGCTTTCTTAGTCCGAAATGACAGCAATTCGAGCGGGACATCCCTCGGGAAAGTGACGCGCCTCCGCCGGCGGGACCTAAATTTTGATGACCCTCTTGTTGTGGCCATCCAAGGTATTGAAGGCGGCCTATAACAATTAATGATCTATAGAATCCGATGAGACTTGTGCATCGACAGCGCCAGTCCGAAGTCTAACGAAGAAGACAATTCGGATGCTATGTAATTAGACTAGGCAATCACTTTATGTCCGATGTTTTAGGCTTTCGAGCGTGTCGTTGAACCTAACGATGAAGCTTAAAATATCTGACCGTCCTGTGAGACGCATGGTACCTTCGATGTAAGGATTTTCGTTTCATATCTTTATGAAGTGATTATTCAGATTTGGCGGAAGAGACGTTATGATAACCTGTTCCGGAAATTACGGGGATGAAGAAGCATTGCTGAAATGGTATAAAGATCCCGAAAGTGTAAGTGCTACACCTTCTGGCAATCAATTTCTTCTTAAATTTTAGGGCCTCTGGATCAATGACCCGATTGTTGATGCCCAAGCGAATCGAAGATATTCTGTATTTTTCATCAACCCCTAGCAGTCCACGCAACCACTAACCACACCTGATTTTTCGTGTATTTTTGCCTCTGTGTTTTTTGTTTTTATGCTTGATTTCTTCTTTGCCAGGTCCCCGAACCGGTTTACAACCCTTCTCTAGCGATTCACAACTCCTTCATCTCCGGGTAGCTAGACAATTTTGAACAATTCGTAGAAACAATATAGGACCTTCGCTGTACTTTTTACCCCTCATAATTTGTACCCTTGGACTGCAAGTACAATCTATTTATTTCTAAACACGTCTTTGATATATATAAATGGTATCGTTTGTAATGTCTTGGCTGGGATTAGAGTGACGAAATTGACCCTTCCGCCAGCATGAGCACTTTGTCCCGTTCCACCTCATTAAACCCGCAGTTTGAGGAACCACAGCGGCACGGGAATTTATAGATCTAAAAAATAAAAATCAAAAATATTTATAATTTACATTTTCCCTCTACCATTCCGATCCATAATCGACCGTCAGCTCAGCGCCCGGCTCGACGTCGTTGAGCGTAAAAAAGCAGATATGTACGTAGGGTTCCGTCGCGTCATCCCAAACGATAGATGTTGCCTGAAAATATGTCAATATAATAATTTATCTAGGATGAAAAAATTGTGATAAGCTTAACTTACATAAAGATTCGACGAGCAACTATGATTCACAAAACGCGTAAAGTTCCCAAATACCTTTGCATCAATAGTACATGACATTTCTCCCTAAGTTTAAAAATACAATCTCCAAAGTGTAAAGTTGAACTTACAATTTTGGTCTCAAAAGATACTCTCCGCTGCCATCGCCCTCATTTTTCAACTCGCCCGTATATTCTCCAACAAACGTTCCCTAATTACAATTTATCCAAGAAAATAGTTTTTAGGATACCGATCGGCAATGCATCCACAGTTCTGACAGCCCAGCCTTTCTTTTCGGTGCGGTAAATCTGGAAATGTTTAGTTGTTTTTTAAGGATTTTCCATTTTCGGTCGGAAGGGTAGTGCTGTGGAATTCGGAGGAAGTTGCTTACAGATGCATAGCGGGTGGAATGGGGTGGCTGGGTTCAAGGGAATAAACAGTTTTTTGTTTTTCGGGGCCCAAAAAGCGATATTTTACCGGCTTAGGTTGTTTTCTAATTTGTCAAAACTCTTCTTATAATCTTAAAATTATCCTACCTTATATAATTTATAAGAGAAATATAAGAAACGATACAAGTTCTAGTTTCTAGTCTAATATAAAGCCTCGCTAGTGTATCAATACTGTAGGTAGATTTATGGAATTCTTTGTTGTAGTTTGATTAGCTAACCTCACTTTGCCCTTTTCCATCAAGAAATACATCCTAATCACTCCTCAAAATCCCAAACACATCTCTAATTTCCGCCCAGCGCACACAAATCCCCACCAACAGATGGACGGCTCATGAAAATAGGCTATTAGTGAATAGACAACAAAAGCCCTCCACCACACCCCCCAAGGGAAAATGGGCATGTCATCTTTTAGGCGCACAGGATCCAACGAGCCCCAAAACACCCCAGAAGAAAAACAACGATGGAAAAGGGCGTAGAAATAAGCACCTGAACAGGATGAACGGCCCCCCTTCTGGGCGACGCGATTGCCGCGATGAAGCGAGCACTCACAAGCCTCGGCACATCCAAATATCACACCCTGGAATGGAAAGGGCGAACGTCGAAAGGCTTTCAAAGGGCCGCTACCCCAAAGCGGCCCATTTCCTGCCCTTGGTCCACTCCCTCGTCAAGCTTTTTTGCAGAACTGGGGCGTCTGGTTATTAACGAAACAACAAAATAATCGCTGTTAGTTGATAGTTACGCCGTATTTTTGCTCGAGGCGATATATTCTTCAGACTAAAATGAGGTCTCTGATTTTTCAAAGGGTATTCTTGGCTATGAGTTTTGGATTTGCAATCTTTATAAATACGGTATGCAAAAATAGGATTGATATGACTATCTTTTGTAAACACATGTGCTATAAGCATAAAGGTTATGTTCAGTATACATAAAATGCGTCTCTGCAAATAGTAAAATATTAAAAGTACGGCAAAATGCCAGCTGAGCTCACGTTCAACTGATCCATTGGGAGCGTCCATCATCAGAATATGGAATTGTAGAGCAACAGCAATCCATAGTTAAAACACGATCTCCCGCATACACAGCCCTAAAATTTTATATAAATGTTATTCAATTATTTTCAAATGGATGTGGCAAAATACCACTAAAATTCGGTAATAAGAATGTGAAAAACTTACATCCACCAAAACAGTCCTGTGCTCCTTGCAAATTCCCTGGCTGTCCAGCACCCGATTTGTATAAGCAAAATTACCGACAGTGAGTCACGTGTCATCGACCGTATTGAATACCGGTACACAAAATCGTTCTAGGCCCAAGCTGATGTCCCTGAAAAGATTTGAGAGTGGTATAATCTTCAAGAAAGCCATACGGATGGATAAGGCCAGGAGGAGGAGGTGGAGCAGGGTTATTTTCTTCCAGTGACAAATTCTCGAGGGCCTCGTGCTCTTCTGCTTCTTCTTGGCCCTCGTTGCTCGTTCCCCGCATCGCGTTTGTTCGGGGAACACCCCCTAAAGTGTGGGAGTATGCGCCGAGTCTATGGTTTTATGTGAGGGAATTGGAGGAAGAACGTTGTGTTTCTTGGCTTAAAAAATAATATAATATAAATAAAGGATATTCGACAATTAATGAAAACATGCCAATTAACAAGAAACATCAGGTCCTATGGATTTTAACAATTTGCATTTATATGGATAATATTGTTCTAAGGTATTAGAACATTGATTTAAGGACAGATTTGTGTTATTTCAAATTCTATGATGAAAATTATCGCGTTCAACACGGCAAATTTGTTAATATGGTTCATTCATGCACTGCCGCACGTTTCATAAAATTTTGGCATATATGAAAAAATCACCTTGCACCCCCATTTATGGTATTTATTAAAAACACCTGAAAATACTTATTTTCAACGAAAATTGGCAAGGACGACTGGCCTTTTTGGGGGGTTTGGGGGCAGAGACGGTTGGAGGGCGTGGGCTCTTCCTTGCTAAGCCTCCCCCTTTTCTGGGCTCTTTTGGCTGGGGCCCTGGGTGCAGTAAACGGGGGGATTAATGTCCTGAGTAACTTGGATATGCGCTTAGCACTTTTCGGCAAAAGGCTTTGTTACGTCACAGCACAGAAGGAAACAGAGATCCTCACTGAACTAAAAGTAGAGAAACGGCCAAGGGCTTGCTTACCAAGAAAATACAGCCAAATACAAATTTGGTACGCTTATTCGCTGACAAAAAATTACCTTCAAATAGAGCTTTTCCGGCTAATTGACTGCAACCAACCAAGGGAATCTGCAAAGGCAACGATCCTGGAATATCAGATTTGGAAGATGGCCTCTGGTTTCTATCCCGAAAACGACTCTATGATCCTCGCCGAGTCTAACGATGGCCCTGACCGGAAATTAGAATCACGTCCCACTTACGATGACTAACTCCAAAACACAGTTTTTCACTGCAGCAACTCGAACGCCAGATCCATATATTCGACTGAAAGCCAAAGCCGAAGGATTTCCTACCCAAAGATTTCAACGCTAAAGCCAGACATTTCCTCGAAAGCCTGGCCCTTTCAAAGCACTTTGCGATGGGAAAAAGCCGGACTCGCCGATCGAAACAGCCGATTTGACAGGCCGATCGTGCATTTAAAATATTCCGGGGTTTCACGTGACGGCGAAGGTAAATTTCCCACAAGGTGTGTATATTTGGTGAGGGCACCCATTACTCACAAGAAAGCAAACGCATTTCGGCGGTTCGAAAACATTTTCCTAGAAATCGTCGGAAATAAGCGTCCGCAACTTGACCTAGCGTCCATATGCTAAGACACACGGCAAAACGAAGGCTAAGATATTTTCAAAGGCGCTTTGCGAGGAAATAAAACCATAATTTTGGATCGGGCAAAGCTATTTCACCAAGCAACAGCAAATCGTAAACATTTTAAGGTTGTGGGGAGTCAGGGTGCATACCCCACACCCCCTTACAGAGCCCAAAACAGGAACATCTGGGCAGGTTGGGAGCGGTTTTTCGTTAGTAATGATCCAGGATTCTTTGAAGTGTTGAAAAATTGGTTTCCTGAAAAACTGATGTTTTGATCGGTCGCTGATACGAAAAAACAACCACCCGACGCGAACCCATTCAAGCCACCTAGATTTTTGATTGAAAAGGTTTTGTATAAAAATTGGGCCTCCTTTTTGATCATTTTAAGCTTCCATACAAGTATCTCGTAAAAATCCCCCTAATAAATCCCTGAAAATGCAAGGTCAAGATTTGCAAGATTTTTCAAGAGTTTGGCCAGAATCCCGTTCCAAGGATTAACTTGCGAAAGCCATAGATTGTAGAGCTTTGTTGACATGGTCCATAACACATTTTTCTCATTTTGGCGAATTTTTTGTCTAACCGTCACTACAAATCGCCGGCTTTCGGGAATGAGACCCCGGAAATGAGGCCGTTGAGGGCCGTAGGCCATGGATGTAGGCGCCTAGACGGCAAAAAATCCCGGTTTTGCAATTTATCCATGTAGTTTTGGTAAATGTCTTCAGTAATAACAAATTGACGACTGTGTATTTTGAGGAATCAAAAAGTTACAATTTTTAACAAAAAGAAGGATGGATTTTTAAATATTGCCATGGTCCCAACAATAAGGTTTTTTCTATTCAGCAGCGAAATTCTCGGCTCGGCGAGGCTTAAACTGTGCAGAATTTTTTCTGAATCCTAATCTGGTGTCGAAAATAGCAATTTTGAAAGGTACGAGGAATTTTTTTCAATGTCAACAAAACACAAAATCGCCACAAAAACCCTGAGAATGAAAACTGCAAAAGTGCATGCTTCCTCTAAAATCTTCGCTTTAAATACAGTACCCAATCTTCGAAGGGATATTCTCTATTCCAAATTCCTTATGTTGTAGTCTATCAGAATAGCAAATCTCCCTGCGCGGTAACAAGATACGAAAAACTTTATGTTATTGGCAGGGAAGGGTGTCGGGGAAAAAGGGGGATGGGTGGTTGAAAGGGGTGGAGAAGCGCGATTGGCAATTAGAGGCCCATCCGTCGGACCAGCGGGCCCCAAACCCCGGGGCTTCACCCTCTTCCGACTTCCGCTCGGTCCACTGCAGAGATCCGCGGACCACACACTCTTTCTATTCCCCCTTTTCAGTAAAGAATGTTCTTTTGAAAACAACCATCAGCAGAGCTATTCTATGGGTTGGGGTTTGGATAGAGAGACACACACTTACTAGACGAGGGGGCAAGGGAGCGCGGCATTCGGGAAATCCCCGAAAATGGCCACCTACTTAGGCCAGTTGGGTCCCACCACATTTTCGGGCGCTTGGGTCCCAAACTTGGTTGAAGGGAATTAGGGATATTCGAAGGCTAAATGCTTGGCTGGGGGCAAGGAACTTTTGGATGGTAATTTGTTGTCTTTTAGCAAAAGAACAGGATCGAGAATGTTTTGTCTCCTGTTTTCGCCTTTTGGCGTTTGTTCGGAGTAGTTTACCAAAAAAAGACAAAATCCAATGGTAACGCAGCGGCGTATGGGTAAATGAAATAGGCAGGCAGCGCCCTGTCGGAGGAAGTTTATTTTTTTGTCTAGCTTTGAAATAATATCACACAACCTTACTCTCATAAATCCTAAAAAAACACAAAATAGCTCCATTTCAAATGCTTGAAGAGTCAATTTCGCCCTGCCGCGCTGATGGCCGAAAATGGGATTTCTGTTTGAAGGATGAGAAAGACGGGATAGCAGAATCGAAGGGTCTTCCCTTGATGGAGGAAATCCCATATCCATCCCACTCGAATCGGAAACCACAAATCAGGCGGACGGGCAAGGAGGACGAGCCTTCGATGACCCTCGAATCAGCGGGGCCCAATTTGGTGGGCTTCAAAGTCCCTGCCTCTTTTTGAGGGGTGCGCCCCTCCCCCGGCCAATATGCCCTTTTCGATTGGTCGAATGGATGGGAAAGCGCGGCAGATATGTGTCACCACATGTGTCAAGTCTCCCTTTGCATCGAGGGGATGGGGAGAGTCTATGCTATTAATTGGGCCAAAAATTATGGAAAAAACTAACAAAAGTATCGTAGTCTTCAACTAATAAGCTCACAAGCTACATCAAATTGGGTTTGCTGGGTATCTGCGAAAAATCAATCTTTTAAGTCATACCAGGTGGTTAGTAAGTTAGGAGTAGAGGCGGTTGGGATCCAAATGATTTTTTTTTAAATGAACTAAAGCCAGGTTTTCCAACTTCCCTTTCTTGAAAATTCCGGACCCTATGAACAATTACCTTTGTGGAAAAGAAAGACCTAAAATCCCGAAGGGCCCAAACAAAAAAAACGCGACAAAGGCAGAGCAGCCCGGGCCCCCAAAATCGGTGGTGGCTGGAATCCAATCAGAGGAGCAACGCCTTCCCCAACCCTGATTCTTTGACCGCTTTTCGCAACCAGGAAGAGGGTTGGACTCTCAAAAAAAATCTAGAGGCTTTGGACCGCCTTGGTAATGTAAAAGTTTATTACAAACGGAAAGCGTAAAAGCAACCGATTCAACGGATAATTCTGCAACTTCACGCGCTATCCACCACGGTGGTGCTCAGCTTCTCGTCGCTAATGACAGTTTTCAGCACGCTTGGCACCTGCAACTCCTTGAAAGAGCCATCCGCGTTCGTCAGACAGATTGCGACGTTTTGACACTAAAATTTCAACGTTTTTAAGTAAATCTGGGAGGCCTTTACCTCTGCACTGAAAATTTCGACATCTTTTGCTGTATCCGCCAGGTGAAGCTGACATCCGACTGTCTTTGTTAAAGAAATCTTTGGTGCTGTACCAGCTATCTAAAATTAATTAATAGAATTTAAATTTACAATAATGTCCAGTATAATTGGGCTAGAGTCTCACCTCCATTTCCAATTGCTCACAATCCAGCACCTCAATTTGGTCAACCACGGATTCGATGCGCAAAAGACCTTCTTGGTGCCCTGTACTTTGATCGAGCGGCTTTTTCCATTCATTCTGAACACGGACTTTAACAAGCTTGATTTAAACCTAAATATAATCGCTGAAAATCAACGCTTACTGTATTTTCACATTCTCACAATCTCGGACGAGGATTGACTGTCGCTCAGTCTCCACATCGACCATGGTCAAAGTCAAGCGATTTTTCAAATTTTCCTAATAATGTAAATAATAACTATAAACTATTCAAAGCCTACCATAATCAGCTCCTGCTTGAGTTTTGGCGCCCCGACGGTGGAATTTAAGGATGAATGCGAACTTGCCATTTCGCGACGCTAAAAGCAGCGTCGTTGATTTTTTGGTTTATTTTCCTGGACCTTCCAATTGACGTCTAAAATTTTACCTGACGGATTCGTCGTCGCTCGTCAGAACTGGATCGATTGTCGGCAGAGCTGTTTGCGCGCGGCTCCATGTGGTTGGCAGTGGGGTTTTGTTTCTAATAGATCATAAATCAGACTTACTCTAAATTTATCTTACCTCAACCAAAACGCTTCGGGTCATCTGTTCTTCTCGATAAGTATGCATTGCATTAACAGCTGCCGCAGCCAGATAGTGGGCTCCAGAGGTGAAATTTGTAAACTAAAAATTCAAAAGATGGGCAGTTAAATAGAGTATGTATGGTTCCAAGGAAATTTAGGTAACAAATTCTTCTCGACCAACCTGTGCAGCATTTTGGATGCGAGCCTGATCCTCCACCTCACAAACATCAATGAATTTTCTTAATTTTCGAAGGGTTTCGGCGGGCAGCGTTTGATAGTCAAGCACCACATCGTCCGGATTCTGCAAGTATTTCTGGAAAATATTCAAAACCTTACCACAACAATATTGGCCGACTTTTCAATAATTTTAAAAGCACGCAGCTGGTTCCTTGAGGAGAGGTTCTTCACAGCAGCAGCAATATTATCCGCAGAATTGCGCGATGCCGAATTTTCCATCGATTCTGGAATACGGGGGGAAATCAGAGTACTGGCTAGTATGGAAGGAAGATAAATTGGCTCTAGCTCTAGTAAATGAGTGATCACGCGGCGCCGGCTGGGCAGATGGTACCGAAAAATTAAAATTTATCACTATGGAAAGGTCACTCGATCTGGCACTAATGAAAATAGTTAGTGCGCGTTTGAAGGTTAGGGCCGTTAAAGCCACCTGCACTAAGATAGGCTAGAAAATGGGGGTAATATGCCATACACAAAAACCGTCAATTTTAAAATAGAAATTCCAAAATTCCATGGGTTTGTACATGTAAATTATCTGAAAAATTTTACAGGTAACGTAGTGAGGTTGCATTACTATCATAACGCTAGAAAGAATCCACATTGAACCTTTTGGCTGGACCCCTGGCGACGTCTTTCAGGCTTGCAAAAACTTGCACAACATGGCTTTTTGTGTCTCCTAGCAGCGGCTAGTCTATTTTGTATTACGGTATAATCTACGAAAACTGCGAAAATGGCGTAAGAGGTGCTTTTACTCACGAATACAAGAAAAACCTTGAAACTCGTTACACCATTTTTGATAAATTACTACAAGCTGGCCAACCGTTCTTCTAACGCTTACGGTAAAAAGTACGGTTTGGCAAGTATTTGCCTACATTTGTGCTTTAAACAATCAAGAACATTATCCCCTTACAACACCCGGAATTATCTGCAGGCTAATCAACCAGTTTTGTTACGGATTACACCCCTCCAATTCCAGGGAAATACCCCCATAAGGTTCCCAGCACCGTTAACACCCTTAAAACCTCGACCACCTCGTTCTCCTCGTTCCCCTCCCGGTACAGAACGCATTAGTCACCGCAAGTTCGTTCCCGTGAATTTATTTCACCTAGCGTGCCACAATCGTTCTCCCACGCATTTCCCGACAACGATCCATTTACCAGCGGCTCAGCCCCCGAATATGTTCCGTTTTTTGCCCACCCAGGATGGCGGCGCGGAAAACAGCTTCTTCTCATCGGGGCGTGAGCCATCTGGCCAGCTCAAGCTCCTCCCCCCTCAGCTCCTTCTCCATCGTTTTCGGGTTCTTCTCCGCCTCTTTTCTGTTGTGCCTTCCTTGGTGGAAGAGCTAATAGCTCTTGCTCCTCCCGCCCTAGCATCAAATTATTCTCCCGCCCCTTTAGTCAATACTCCGGCGGCGCCACCTGCTCCTCCCCTCTCTTCTTCGGTAGCAACTTGTCCAATTTGCTAATCGGCTGACCCGTTCGGCGGCTTCGGCTTCACTTGACGACCAATTTACCCAGAGGAGATGAGGCTGTTATGGAGTCTCTTTCTGTTTATACCGATTACGATAGCGTCGTACTGTGGCGAGAACGGGGTGCCGTTTAGTATGGAAGTGTTGTCGAACGGTAGTTTCTGATTTTTGAGGTGTAGTTGAGCTTTCAGGGTTTCCGGTGCTTGGTTGTGCTCAGCCGTCTTGTATAGCACAACCAGATGAAGGATATGATGACTCTGTTTTTGAAACAGATCCTAGTGGACAGGTAGAGCCAATTTGAATTTTTGATCCAATGAAAAGCGTCAAATGTGGCTTTGGCTATGTACATATTTCAGGTCGACGGATTTTTCCCGAGATGGCGATCGTGCACAGAATACTTTTTGGAGGGCAAACAAGTTCAAAGCGGTAGGTATATTATTAAATTATTTTGTGGTATCAGAACATTAATTCTGGAAATACAAAGCCGATAACTTTTCTCATTTACACCCCAAAAGTAAACCTAAAAAAGTACTCTGCAGAATCGCCCTGTATCTCAATTCCTCCTAGATGTTCGCCAGACACTCTCAGCGAACACTTTTTCATGAATTCCCCCAGATCCCGGTTGATCCCTCTCAAGCCCTTTGTGGCACTCGCCTCAAGGTTGATTCGCCCTCACTTTCACACCTCAACCAGCGTGCTTTTCGACCCGCTATGTGAAAGCTCGCCATCCTCCCCCCTTCTTTCCCTTCCTGCTACCGGATATCACAGTGGGTAGCCAATTCTGCCACCAGAAGGTCTCCCACCAGGCACGAATCGTGGCATAACTCGATACGAATGGCGTACCCTCACTCATTTATCATCCACCAAAAATCCGTTCGGTTTGGTGGCAGTGTTCATATGGCTAGATATGGATAAGGGAGATGGAGAAGAGTGTTGTATCGGAAACAGATCCAATAGCACCGGAAGAAGGGGGGGGGTTGGTGGAAAACTGCCCGCGGGTGCTTTCGATCCAGCCTGGATTTCCAGGGCTTTCAGCGCCATTGAGTGTGCCTTTCACTATAAGGGTTACCGAGGTGGGATGGGCGTGAAGAATGAGGAGGTAATTCGTATAACCTTGAATTATTTGAGTGTTTTGAACGGTTGTGAAGAAGGAAAAGTAGAAAGCAGCTTAAAATTCGCTGAAAAAACAACTATTTTATGGTTTTCAAACTAAACATTTTGACGGCATTTTAAAATTGACCATATGCTATTTTTACAGTCACCTATTTTCCAATTTCGCCACTTTTACTCCAGCCGAATTTTAGCCCTCCCCAAAATCCGTTAAACAATCTATCCCGCTTCTACCCAATCCCATTAAACCTCATTGACCACCCTCCAAAAATCCCAGAAAAAGACAAAACACTGAAAAATCCTTGTTCCTCCCAGAACTGCTCGGGCGCCTTCGACGAACTTGCCTGTGTCCGGAAAAACCAATGGGTCGGCGGCATCGAGTACATCGACCATCCTCGGCAACCGTGAGTATCCGTAAAATATGGCCAAACAACCGAACCGTATTTAGCCTGGTGCTGCAATGCTGCAGTTTCGAGGGTCTGCGCTTCTCCCAAGATGTTGGGGTGACCACGATTTCGGCTGGGGAAGCGGTCACCGGCGGAGAAGTATGCTAGAAATAAAATTCTATAGATGCTTTATTACTCAGGTAATCCGTGATGGTCGTCAAATTTCGTTTGATGTTATTGCTAATGTGCGCAAAGTGATCGATCCGGAGGATAAGTCGTAAGTTCCTAAAAGATTTGCACTAAATTCTATTCCTCGTTAGTCCTCTCATCATCTGATCATTAATCAAAGCCGAAATCCGTTTCCTCTGCATTTTTCGCATTCCGCCACTATGGCATGATGAAGCGAAAGTCGCATATCAGCTTCCATTTTTTCCCGCCCACCCCACCGGAATTCCAAGTGAGCGCCGGGGCTTTTTTGGCAGGCAGCCGAGGGGGGGGGAATCAGCGAAGCGATGCTAAAATGCGGTCGTTAGGGAGGGACTGTCGAAGGCAATATGCTTTTTATGAGCTTAACAATGTATGGTGAATAAGTGCGGAATCGGAAGCTAGTAGATGTTATAAAATCAGCTGTGAATTGAGACTGCATTAGTGTTTAATGTGCTCGGCTAAAGCATAAAAAGAAAGCTTAGCAATCTTACAAAGTATTAGTTTTTTTTTCGTAAACCCCTAAAAGAGTTTTTTTTACGAGCTTTAAGCTTTTGGTCTTACAAAATTATTAGTCCAAAATCCCCGCCGCATAACCGCTCTTACTTCAATTTAAACCAGTAATTTCTAAACAACTTTCACACCTTCTCCCCTTTCTATCCACAATCCCCATCTCACTTTCATTCCCCGATTACACCCCCCGAAAAACGGGTCGACAAAAATTCGCGGTTCTCCCCCCAAGGCGACACGCGCTGCCAAAACCCGGCGAATCGATCCCCCAGCCCTAAATTTGGCCGCAGATCAGAATCTGGCGCCGAAGCCGAGTGGCTCCCGAGATCGGCGTTCCGATCTGCGCATTATCGAGCCCTTCAGTCTCGAGCAAAGACTGTGACTGTGTGAAAACTTGTGAACCCCCGACAGAAACGGCAAGTTCCAGGGTCTCATACGAGGTGACGGTCCGCCGGATGAACTGTCTACCAGATCCGCCGGAGATCGAGGTGGCATGTGAGTTTCCGTCTTCCTTGGTACGGGTGTGACCAAGGCTATTTGAAGATGGGGTAGGAATGTGGGAAGGATGAGATCGATAAATTAGGTCTCTAAGGCCACACTTGAGCAGTAAGAATTCTAATATAGTTTCTGATGCCCTATCGCATCTCAAAACGTCAAAAAATGTTAGTGAAAATGCTTAAGACTCGGTTTATAGGATCACAATATTTTTATGCTACAACCCTAAATTCCTAAGATCCTTGCTGTTTTATCGCAAAAATAATTAAATTCGAAAAGAATCGCAAATATATTGAAATCTGGAACAATACCACCGTTAATAAACCAAAAATCAATAATTCAAAGTGCGCCACTACTCACTAAAATCCGAGCTGAAATTCACCTTGGAAATTATTGCAATTATTTTCTCCAATTCATTTAGTTTCAGAAATTACATTAGCGCGAATTGAAGTCTGACCTTTAGCCCATTCCTAGACTATGCTTTCCTCCTTTGTAACGTGCCAATACACATAGATCCCTCCTGTCCACTACCCCCCTCCCTCCGCCGTTCCGATGACCGGCCATAATTGTGTTGCATGTCATTGTGAGAAATGACCCGGTTTATCCACTCCCTCCTCTCCCGTCACGAACCGCCAATTTCACGAAAACTCGGCGTGCAAAGTCCATTGACAGAGTGGTTGTGAGGGGCATAATATGTACAGAAGTACGGGAACGAAGTATTAAATTATAGCGTGTGAAAATAATGATTTTTGACCGAATAGCGAATCTCATTTCATATATAAGTTACGATAATTATTATTATATTTAGATGAGCAAGACATTGATGATGAAATCTACCGGGTTTTGGGTACCGCTGGCAACACAACGCTCAAATCCAAGGAGATCGAACCTCCAATTCAGAAATACAAGAAAAAACCAGTGCGGGAACCCAAACGAAAACCTTCTAAACAAAGGTGAGAGCTGAAACAATAAAGATTCATATATTCCTTTTAGAAAGCGTCCAAACAGCGAATTCGCTTTTGGAGCCCCGAATTTCGACCCAATAAAGGCACCCTCCAACCCTCCAACCAGATACCCTAAAATCACCAACGATGATGAGCCGGAGGCTTTTACAATGCAGCCCTACCATAGGTATCTCTGACTTAAAATATTCTAATTTGAATTCCTAGAACGGTTCCTGCCCGTCGCCCACGACAGAGACCCTCCACAACCGCAAATCCATTACCATCAACCCCGACCACAACTGTGGCACCGGAAACCACGTCGGTTTTCACGCCAGTTACGATTGGAAGAGATCAGTTCGCTGTAAGTCCCTCCTATATTTTATTTAGTAATTTTTTTTAGCAAATGCAACCCGGAGCCGTTACCCCAGCTCCGTTCAACCATCTTCAATTCCCCGGCTTCAACTTCCAACCCGTGCAACAATCCCCTCAACTGTACAACCCATTCCAGCTTCCGCCCCATCCACACTTTGGGTAGGTCTTAACTTTAACGCTTAAAGTAATTATTTAAGAATGGTCACACCTGCTCCAAATCCATTCGGGTTCCCTCAACCACAGCATGAACAATATTACCATCACCAAGTAGAGAATTTTTCAGGAGGATAGAAAAAACCTATTGTTATAGTTCCCCGGCCTGCAGACCGCGCAAAACTACGGGGTGCTGAACCCCAGCGGTTTTGGACATGCGCAGCTCTCCCCATTGGCCCAGCAGCAGAATGTGATCAGCGTCGCGTCGCCGCAATATTCGCCGCTTTCGGCATTCCAATTTGGGCAACCATTCGGCATTCCACAACCTGTGCAGCAGCCTGTCTGGCAACCATATGGCCAGAATTTGCAGCAGGTGAGAGATTGTATCCTTTTGTTATACTTAGCTTATCACATTCTCAGGACAATCATATGCCAGCGTAGGCTTTAAAAATAGAAAGAGGACCTAGTCTAGCTTGTTTAGGAATGTTTCATTAGTTCCCACCCGGTTTTTAAAACATTCAAGAATTTCTCAAACTATAACGCCGTTCTTTAATATGGCCACAAATCGCGAACAGCCAACCCATTAAAATATAAAATAAATAAATATACAGTGCAGCAATAGGCATTATTTTTTGGAGTAGAAAAAGATATTTTTTGAATTCTGATTTTACGGACCTCGCCAATTATTTTTAATTTTCATCATATTTTGAAATCTTTCGACAACCCATTTTCCGCAAAGACCTTTTTTTGCTTATTTCGGCATAACCATGGAAAATTTTATCTATTAGTTTGGTTCTATCACTTTTAAAACTCCACCCGTACCTTACATGGTACCTTTGTTAGCCAATTTTGCAAACTTGCATGCCACAAACCCTTTCCGTTTTCAGCCCCAAAATCCCAACCCACCCCCACAACCAACCGTCCACACCACCGCTGAAAATGTTGGTGAATCGGCGGAGGTTTGTATTGTCACTAACCCTTTCGCGTGCCATCATTTTTGTCTCGAGCCCATCAATTCTCGGTTCGAGCACTTTCTGTGTCGACAGCATCCACATCCACACTCCCCCACACTCATTTCCAACGCACTCCATTTTTAGGTGGTAGCTCCGAAGATGGGTGCGGATCAGCTGAACAGGTTCCAACAGGCTTCTCCTCCCGGGTCGTCGTCGTCGGTGGCGGCCGCCGTGCCGAACCTCTTCCCCCCGCCACCACAGTTCCCCAATCTCGGACAATTCAATTTGTTCGGCAGAAAGAAGTGATGTGATAATTATTGATTTCGAGAAATATTGGTGAGCGTGTATTAGAGCTGTTCTTACTCAAACCAAATTGCCATTTACAAGGGATCGGGAAATTCCGGTCTCCGAGTTTCGGGACCACTCGATCTCAAAATTGGCAAACAAGGTGCGTTTTCAGTGACAAGGTCCACACGGGAGCAAGCATAAATTATGCAAAATTGTGCGCTGATTACGAATCTAGTTTCAAAATCTGATAAAGGATCAGATTAAAGAAATTGTGAGACGGAACTGCGGAAATGCCTTAATTTCGCAAAATATTACCTTTTTTCACACTTATGTTAGTTTTCACTTGGTAGTTCCGCAGATTTAAAAACCCGATTCGAAATCGGCGTAAAATTTTACACCACATAAGCTTGGTCCGTGTGGAAACTTATTATCAGAAAAAACGTCTTCTTGTAAGAACAACTCTAGTCTGTATATTAAGAGAAGGTCAAGTATTTGCTTGCTAGTCATTATTTTGGGTAGTCAATTGGTGGGGAAGGGTGTTTAGGTTGCCGATGCCGGAAATCAACCTAAATCCCCTGACTCCGCCGGTATTAATAGCCCGATTTTTCGTGCCTTCCCCGCCATTCTACTGGTATATTATTGTTGTTATTGCCTTTTCTTTCCCCCTAGGCTTTTTATTCTCCATTTCCTACTTCCTTCCCCACCCCCACTTCATCAACCCCAACCCCCCATGAAAAGTATCCGCATTCACCCATCCCCGGATCTGGTTCCGCTCCCGCCAGGAAGGCATCCACTCGTTTTTTTTTCTTCTGCTACACCGTTCCCCTCATCGAATCCTTACACTTGCTTTGCCCAGAGATCCGCATGACGATAGCGGCAACCCAAGAAAATATGGGCAGCTGGATGGCAAGTTTTAGAGGGCGAACCTGAATTAATACCAAGAAGATTTACAACCAAGACTTTGGCCAGGGTTGTTTATATACCATTTAAAAACCATAGTCGTACCCACGTCGCGCTTTTCATCGTTTTTTTTTGTTATGACCTATCCCGAAGTTCAATTTGCTCCCAATATGCTCAAACGCTGCGATCCTATTTTGTGCCCAGATACAGCATCCCCCATAATCAACTCCCCTCAACTATCACCCCCCATCCATTCTCAGGCCCGCCAATTTTTAAGCATTGTTTTGCATGTGCTGAGGACATAGCAGCAGCAGCTACTGACGCGGCTGTCCAGTTTCAATTTTCTTGTTGCACCCATTTCCTTCCGTCTATCTCCCTCTACATATTCTCCATCCTTCGCAAGCCGTCCCCCAAAACAGGTCGAATAAATGCTCGTCTTATCCGTCAGCGCAAAGCCGATAAAAAACACCTGGGTGAATGTGGAAAGAAAAGCAATCGGGGTTTGATGGTTGTGTTCGGGGTTTAGGGGAAAGTTTCGGGGAGTTAGTTGGAGGTGGAGGAGGGAATGGCACACGCTGTAGGTCAGGCTTTTTTAAAGGTATAGTCGGGCGGGGATCGATTTTTGAAGTGCTAGAATTTTGCCAAATTTGGATGGTTTGCGCGCCAAAAAGCCCTTATCAACCCGACGCATTAATGGGAGGTCCGAAAAGATGCGTACCTGCACCTGCTAACGTCGGCTAAATTTTAGTTAGTAGTTTACGTGCCTTAATCCTAAATCGAGGCCTCTATCAGGCTTGCTACGTATACTTTTAGCACCTAGAGAAATTCCGCCTCGAATATAAAACCACACATTAAAAATTCGACACCAACTCTTCCGGTGATCCTGTTAGAGCCCAACCCCCGTTTCACCTACAACATGAAATCAATCATTATATGCCTCCTAGTTTTTCTAAGCAGCTACGTAAGTTCATAAACACCTTGGAAAAAAATTTCAGGCCTCTGCGCTATTTGATGGCGCCAACATCACCCACCTAAATTCCGACAACTTTCGAAACCGAGTCCTAAATTCAAAGGACCACTGGTTGATCGTCTTCTACGCTCCTTGGTGTTCCTCTAGCAAAAAGTTTTGCCAATTAAAAAAATTAAATAATTTTTTCTAGATTTGCTCCAAAACTCGAGCAACTCGCCAAGGCTAACCCTTCAAAGAAATTACTGGTATTACCAGTACAGTTCCATGGCTGCCATTTTAGATCGGAGCGGTCGATGCCGAGCAGTGCATCTTGATTTCAAACGATTTCAACATTCAACAATACCCTACATTGCACTACTTCGCACCAGGAGCAACAAACGTCACAAAATACCTGGCTTTTGAAAGTCTCGAGGAATTGCAGAAGTTTGCCAAGGATATTGACCGGAAATAAAGTTTTGTGTTGCTATGTTGGAATTGATATAACAATTTACTTTATTGCTTCGCGAATCTTTGAGTGAGATTATGGAGAATAATATAGTATCGTTTAACGAGTGAGGTTGGCGAAGGCGGCTAGATCAATGGTTGATAGACGGAAAGCGGTTGTTCTCCGGGGCCCTCTTGGGAGGATAGGTCGACGGGTAGGATCAGCCGATGCGGGTTTTGACCGAGACGCTCCATCAGCTCGTACTGAAATCAGACATGGTATATAGTAAAATAGATTCCCATACAATTTTGAACCCACAGCAAATGCCGTACTAAAATCAGAGGTTTTAGACGTCTTTACATTAGAATTCTCTTACGGTGGCTTCAAGTTAATGTCAAAAGCCTTACCCTTCGCTTGGCCATCTCCATCAACTCGCCAGCCGGACGGAACGACCTGCCGGAGCGGATCAGCGCGCCTCGAAGCCCCATGCCTTCCTGCGCAAGTGCCAGAACGAGCAAGACTGCAAAAATTATTTAAGCTTTGACAGTACTGGACTAGCTTTTTTCTCTAGACCTGCCCTCAAGTTCGAAAATCACCTTATACACCTGCGGCAGATCGTAGAATTTTACTAATTGCCATAAAAAAACCATAGATCCCACAACATTACGACCACCTGCCTGACCCCTTGAGATCAAGCAGCAACGACAGCTGCAGTTTACACATCAAAAATTAAACTTAGTGTAGGCCTACTAAGCAGATACAACCTAGCAGTACCCAACAACTTACCAACAAGAAGCGTGGGCCTCATCGTCGAATACGGACTCGTTTTGCTACCGGTCGATGAAATGGGACTTCTCGTCACCGCCGCTTTACCCCACCCCAAAACCCTTTGTCCCGCCCCAAATGGTAATATATCCGCTCAAATTTTATTATTCACCATGGATAGCGGTGCAATAGGATTAGGCCTGCGGGAGAAGAAATCATTCCGCCGGTTCTGACAAGTAACGCCAAATTCTGGGAAGGTAAAGCTTGAAGTCACAAGAAATGTGGATACAGTATACATACGAACACTAAATCATACATAAAAAAGTAAAGGAAATGGATAAGGCATATTATTCCAGTTCAGGGGGACGACAACATTACCGACGAAGCTGCGTGGCAAGGTTATCATCCCCGCTAGCAACATATACAAAATGAAGCTGCAGACCACAAAAGCTCTCAAATATTGTACAAGGCCAATATTTAACAAGGAGATTGTCTATGATTTATATATGAGCACGAGCATTCAGCATCATCGGCTTGAAGTATTTTTCGAAAGTCGGAAGCACCTAAACTCTACGGTTCAATTTTGTTGTGGCTCGTTACTTCTTGCTGGTTCAGTTGGCTCTGCTGGGCCCATTTGATCATATTTTCATAAACATGACCGTCACGACGTCCGAGGACCGAATGCAGTTCACTAAATACCCCTAATTAGAAACCAAGGTTTTTCTACCGATCGCTCAGGTCAAACGAGTCGACAAGCGCCAAGGCATTTGGACGAAGTTTTTCGAGGAGCACATAAATTCCATCACGCACAGCATCGAGCTGGACATCAGTGTAGAAACCATTCTGGAGATCCAGGATGCTATTACAAAATCTATGAATATACCCTCAAAAATTCATGGCCCGCGGCCGAAATCAAGTCGAGGGCATATAGTTGGGCCAAGTGGTTCAACGGCTCGCTGAGGGTGCTGTCGGAGATTTCCTCGATTTTTTGGAAGAACACCTTCATTAGGTAGAGCTTTACGTGAAGCTAAAAGAAATAAATATAAAACCGCCAAAAACCTACTCTTGAAGCTTTGGCCAGTTCGACGGAACATCTATTCCAGGCATCTTCTGCTGACATACTTTGTTGGTGCTTTTTTAGCAGGTGATAGGCTTTGAAGAGCTGAAAAGTATCGTAGCAGATTTATTTAATTTTATTGAGACCAATTGTTAATTTTTGTTCAGTGAAGTTTTAAGACCACGATTAGCTATATGGCGTAACATATACGTTATATTGCCGTACATTAAATTACTTGATTCGGACCCAGGTAAGCCAATCTCGCAAATGCCAACGCATTAATACGCCATCAACCCGTTGCGCAGATTGAATCATACCTGCTCGCGGGCGACATGCTCAAAATCGTGGATAAGTTCGCGGGGAACGGCGTTGTTGATATTTGAAAAACTAGAAAACTTAGTTTCTGAAGCTCAATTAAGGTCTCTCTACCTGCTTTTGGCATTGCCACGACGACCGAGGTATTCGGTGAGTGCGGCAAGTTTGGCGTTGCCTTGTTTGACAGCTTCGGCTACTTTGACTAGGGCTCTGGAAATGGTTGTATAGAATCGGAGGGCAGGGAATAGGAAACTAGACAGGTTTAAAAAGTCAGGAAATTCGGTCTAGACCAAGGGAGGCAAAGGTGAATTAGGAAATTAGCGTGCCTATCATTTCCTGAGGCGAGGATCCAAGACGACCAATATTTGGAAAATCCGGTAAAAACACTAAAACATTACTAACCTGGCAACCTGAAGCAACATCACTAAATTCTCTCCCTCATACGTACAGCCACCCACAGCATACGCATAAATCTCGGGCAGTCCCGAAGCATGGGAATAACCATGACCTCCACACCCCAACCGGCACTGTTCAATACCCTACAAATTGAATATATAATGAACTCGGTTAGAGTGAGCCCTGCTCACCTGCGCCGTTTCCCAAGAAACCAGCGATTTGAGGCCGGAAGAGATGATGTGGATTTCCGGCAGCAGTTCCGTATTTCCTGTGCTCAGGTTTTCAGTTAGCTGCAAAAGGGTTGGATTTTGGCTTTGTGGTTTGGCTGCGGTGTTTTAATTATGTAGCCATGCAGTCTGGACAAACCTTCAAATACAGATCTCTCGTCTGATAAGCGGCAAACATAAAAGCGTAAGCCCGCGCCACCTGGGGCATCAGTCGATATTGTTGGGTTTGATAATCCAAAATTTGGACTTCCCCTTTTCTAAACATCGGTATTTTGAAGGTTATTTTAATAATACCCAGGTACAGGCTCTCCTTGTCGCCGCACACTCGAATAGCGTACAGCAATTGTAGCCGCAGCTGCGAGTTGCATAGATTGATCCTTGATCATAATCGATCTCACGAAAACCATAGCACCGAAACCAAGCTTGGAATGCTTCGGTGCTACGTAGGTCCCGTCTTCGAGAACCTGAACAGTAATTTTGATGAGATTTCTTTTCACTACCTTTGAAAATCTCATAAACATATTCTTGCGTGGTATACGGTATTGATCAAAAAGTAGAAAACCATTGTCACTCCCATTGATGCCGAGCTTGGGTCCGATATCACCGAGGCGGACTCCTGAAAAATTTGCTGCAATATTGATGGTCGAAAGCTACCTTTCATAGGCATATGTGTATTGAGGTCTCGTAGTTGGACGAAGAATGGGTGAGGGCCATGGCATTTGCCTTGAGTGTAGAGTTGGGCCATGACGATGGCATGGCTGGCTGTTTTGCCGAGACCTGGAAGAGATCAATTTCGGGATGAGAGATGAGTGCGACTTGGTGCAACGCATCCGATGTTGTATAATAATCTAATTATGGCTTGGCGTTTTGCCAAGAGATGCACAATAAGGTGGCGGATTAGCGGATTAGTGATATGACTTTGTTTCCGTTTGGAGCGCCTATTCTAGGGAACGGCCACGTGATAGATATTTTAGGATTACAGTTTTTTTGCGAAAACCTCCAACTCGTCTTCTCTCTCTCTGTCTCTCTCTCTCTCTCTCTCTCTCTCTCTCCCTCTCTCTCCCTCTCTCTCTCTCTCTCTCTCTCTCTCTCTCTCTCTCTCTCTCTCTCTCTCTCTCTCTCTCTCTCTCTCTCTCTCTCTCTCTCTCTCTCTCTCTCTCTCTCTCTCTCTCTCTCTCTCTCTCTTAGTCTCCCACATACCTCCCGGCCACCACTTTGCAGCCGTAATTTTTGGCGAGTTCAACACGAATTCTTTCGTTGCCGCATCGTAGGTGGCCGTGGTCTCAAGCTTCTGAAGATTAGTCCCTAAACACATTTGATCGGCCTCCATTTTTTCGGCAGCTACAAATCATTTCCCTCTATATCCCCAGTACGCCCGGAAAAGAACTCACCGTGGCCTAACTCAGTTTGAGCATAGGTGCCAATTATGGCCCGAGACACGACCAGTGGTAGCCACCTGAACGATATAATGGCTTGAGGAATAGCGGGGACTTTTGGAGGGACTTATTGGGAAAATGATGACTAATGAAGAACTGGATCTGGAATGTAAGTTGAATAGTCAGGAGTCTGACATAAATGTCTTAATATATCGCTTTATCCAGGAACTGAGTCAGGGCATTCTACTGAATTTTTCAAACGGCCGACTGAACAAATTTGTATATGGATTCCCGAGACCCTCTGCGGCCAAAATGAAACTGTGGGGGCAAGCCGTGCCAGGTGATAAGACCGCTCGAATGCCTCAAAGTGATACGAAGTTAGGGCTGCTGGCTTCAGCCAATACCGTTGGATTGGCTCGAACCGGGGGGAAATGCTCATGGTCGATATTGCACTAGTATAACCAAGGGACTGGAGGCGTAAAAAAATCAAAAGTTTTATTGTATCTCTCTTAAATTCTATTCACAATCTTTCAATTAACGTTTCGAGGATGAATCGATCGATTCGAAATTATTAGCTGCGATGACAGTAAATTTTCAACTACTAAGGGGTCATGCATATCAAAACTAATTCTCTTTCCCCGGAGTAAAATTTTGGAGTTGCCCTTTATTACCGCCTCTCATGTCGCTCTCTCATTTTTAGAGATCATATTCTCAGCCGGTACTCATGTTATCTTCCAAAAAGGCCGGAGTGACCTTCCGCTAACTAACCAGTTTTCAGACCAAAAAAATTACAACGAGTTTCCAAAACTTTGAAATAGCGAAAGTTAATTGCAAAATTTGATAGCAAAACAATTTAAAATTGAAACCCACTCGTCAAGCTGCTCATCGTCCGACTGATTCTGTATCGTTGGAAAGAACATGGCATAGTGCAGCGACATCCCATGCAAATCGCGCCCCATAATTAAACTAAAAACCCTCCGGAAATTGTGGTGCAATTTACTTTTGGTAGTAGATGCCCTCGCCAAAGAAGTCGGACCCATCAATTGCCTCGGCCAAATCGGTCATGGCCACGGCCTTTAATTAAGAAAGGTTGTTGATATATTAGTTTGTCATATCTTACCTTTCGAGCATTATTGGAGACACGATCTTCGCGAGTCAAAAATTCTGGAGGGATTGGGTCGCGGAATTCTTCATGGCTTTCGACGAAATCAAGGATTTCCTTGCGACGCTGAAAGTATGGGGTAATTTTTGGGTTTTTTTTAATTACCTGTAAGTTTTCGGTTCCTCCATAGATAAAAGCAGCCATTTTGCGGACATCGAAAGTGCCCTTTTGCGTTCGGCGGTGATATCAGGGTTGTCACCCGGTTGGATCAGTGTGTTCATTTTCCTAGAACGAAGCTGGGTGAATCCATATGTGGTCAATAATTGTTAGGTACAAAACGATAATATATAGTAATAAAAATTATAGAATAAAGGTAACTCTGCTAAGTTTTGAAATCAAAATTTGACAGGCATCTTACAAAACACGGATCACCGGACCATCCAATCGCTTTTCTGTTATATAGCCAGGGATGGCGAGGGAAAAGACAAAGTGCGTGGAATTCGAAAAAGGCAAAAGAGGGAGTTGATAATGACGGCAAAGGAGGAGACTAGACTACACAACCCCACACAGCAACCTTATACCTTATCGGCGTGGCCCCAATTTTCGGCGCGCCGGTTCTTTAATGCATCGCTTTTCCAAGGCGCATTCCTGCTCTGCTGAATATTCACCCAGCACCAGTAGTGTAGTAAAAAATACAAATATCGATAGGTTTATTCACAAATCCTACAATAAAATCAGTAGAGCGGTTAGAAAAGGGTATGGATGGCGAGTTAATCAATGAATCACCAGCCCACGCGTGCTAAAACCGGAAGATGCTGCTGCCCTCCGAAAAAACCAGAACATTCCTAATGTCTGCCAACGGCTGCCCGAGGCGGTGAAAACAGCCATCAGCTGATCGAGCAGCTAAACGTTATCACAAAACTATAAATAAGGTGCTATGGATTTTATAATACACAAGAGGAATAATTTACAACGGCTTAAAAGCATAGCAAGTAACACCAGCCCGGCTGGTTTGGCAAAATAGATCGGTATGTGCGATATAGCTGTACTCGCCGCGTCCACATATCACATTCACTTTTGTTCCCAGGCGCGTTTGTGCTGCTTTCTGGATACGGCGTTTTGACTCGGAGGTGTCGTCAATTATTTCCTAAACTGATCGGTCGGCGGACATTCTTGGGGGAGCGAACCTGTTCGATGATGGATCGGAGTGTCTCGCTGTTGCAACTTGGATCGACCATCCGGGTTTTGGCTCCGTACAATTTTCGACGTCTGTATTTGCATGGACGTCGACAACCACAGCAACAATCATTCTGAAAAGCGCGCGGGGACTTTCCGAACGTCGAAAATTCGGGTTCCGAATTTCCATATTCGAGAATTTTGAAATTTCGACATTTCCATAAGTTCCATTCTCGTAATTCTCGGAAGGCTTAAAGTTGTTTTATCTAATAGAAATTTAGAGCCTGACCTTTCAGATTTTTCAGGTTTTAAATTAACTAAAGTCGCTATTCCGAAGCTTCGGCATACTTGTAGAAGAACGTGAATGAAACATTCAGTCCTTCTCCAGTTCCGCCGATGTTATTAACCTTTTAACTGTACCTGTGCAGGAGAAGGGGCTGGTGCAGCCCCACATCCCGTTGGTGGAACGGCAGCAGGTGGAGCTCCTCCACAGCCTCCGCCAGAAGGTAATGCTGGCGGACGAGGAGCAGCACCACCGCAACCTCCACCACCCCCACCGCATCCGCCAACCGGTGGAGGCATGAAACCACCGCCGCAGCCACCCATGCCGCAACCTGGATTCCAGTAATTGTTTTGACAATTAGGATTCGGCTCACCTCCGCCGCCTCCTCCGAACCCAAATCCGCCGCCAAATCCAAACATTGGGGGTTGGTACATAAAAGGTCTCCCGGCAGATGGACATGGCGGTGGAGGAGCCATTGGACAGGCTGGACGTGGACACATTGGCATGGGAGGTGGAGGGCATGGTAGACGAGGAGCACACATCGGAAGTGGACATTGCGGTGGAGGAGGAGGTGGAGGGCATAGTGGGGGTGGAGGGCACACCTGTAAAGAGTGTACCGTAACCGTCTGGCTACTGTAGTCGAGATTCACGTTGGGTAGAAGTAGCTTAGAAATGCCTGAAGTGCACCTTCTTGCAATGCGTCGTTTCGGTGATGGTCGAATTTTGTGATGAGACATAATTCTGTTAATAAAGCTTGAAAGCCTAAGCGTGACGCTTTTTTCGAACCTCTAAACAATGACAGAAATCAACCAGAAATTCGTTCCGAAACGACCGATTTTGCCCATTTTTGGAGCTCACCTAATAGGATCTTAATTTTTCCGAAGACGGTTATTTTTCTGCAATTTTTAAAAACTGTGGCCTTTTGAAAATTTCAAGCTTTATCGACCGAACTACTTCATATCGCAAAACTCGGTTATCACCTAAATCAGACTGTTTGTTACAGGAATCAAGCTACTAATTTAAATCCAAAAGCCGATGTATTGCTGAATCACAAAAAAACTTAATCCATATCTCGCATCAGAACTAAATACGACAAAACCCTCTATAAAAACGGCCCATAATGACCAGAATTTTGACATTATAGCTGAACCATACCTGCATCGGGCACGGTGGCGGCAGTGGCGCACATGGCCTAGCACAAGGCATAGGTAACGGAGCTCCACATCCTCCTCCGCATCCGCCTCCGCAGCCAAATTGCCCCCAAACAATTCCGTAATACAGAAACGGCAGCCATAAAACCCGCCCAGCAACCACCATCGGAATTCAACAATTGGGTGCCCAGAAACTTGGCAAGAAATAGTGGAATTGATATCCCCTGGGGGTCGTCTCCAATAGTAGGTGGGTGGAGCATTGAAGTGCGTGAAAAACGTGTAACCAGTTTTTGGGAGGTGTCTTCCAACGGTGAAGAGCCTAAGGTCGACGGCCCACAGGCAATACTTGTATACCAGTCTTTCCATTGGTTGGCATCGGAATCGGAAGAAGGGAGGCCGAGACGAAGACCGAGACAAGGACATACATGTTTGTCTTCCCATGACCGAGCCCTCTCAATTCGAGAAAAAACGCGTCATCTTATGGACTACAGAATGGGTGGGTTGAAATTCCGGTGGATGCACAGAACAGAAAGGGATTCGTATATTTCCAGGCTTGCGTTCTTTTAAGTCTGAAAATATAGATGACTTCCTCGAGAGCAATGGATTTTACTATATCCATTGATCCTATTTGAACCAAAATAAGAGCATTAGATTCCATATTTCTCTGCGACCATGGCGCGGAAAAAGGTAAATATTTCTGAAGCATTCTCAAAAACAAAATAAACATTTTCAAGTTTTGGAAATTTTTGCAAACAAATTTTCAATTGAAGAATCGCGGGTTCTGGTTCGTTATCGCTTCGTTCTTCTATGTATAGGTATAAGAGCGCTAAAAACGTTGAAATCGAGAACCATCATCCCGATTTGTAGGATTATTCCTCTTGTTTTTGTCACAACTGCTAAAGTTATGGTGTTTTTTTTCCTGGTATTAAAAGACATTGTTAGATCTATGATGCTCTCGTGGAGGTTCGCGTGGAGGTAGTCCCGAAAAATCACAAAATAATGAAAATCTCCGGCCATGAGCCCCCCTCTGTTTAAAATACATTTAATCCATATTTATGGGTTAACCAGGCTTTATCGTCGCAAAGAATAATAATAATAATATGACTGCATGAACCGAGGAAAAAGATTTAGCATTTTAGCATTCACAAAGTTTTGGATCTACGTTTTCTTTCCAATTTTTTAGCTCTTGTGTTAGCTCGTATGAAAAAGATGCCCTTTCAAAACCCTGGATCCCTCCCTGCTCATTAGCCTCACTTTGACAAGTCTTTAATAAGTATGGGCAGCCCCTCCCACGGTTAGGCCCCCCACCTAGCCCCCTGTAAAAGTAATCATTGGTTGCCATGGTCGGCCCATTCCTTCCTTCGAAACACAGCTGCCACCCCAGCCTCATTTCACGCGATCGTCAACTTATTATGCGTCCACGGCTAATCCTATTTATATGCGTTATTTTGGCTACTTGGCACCGGGTTGAGGCTGTGACTATGGCTTCACTTGTAGGTTGTCCTTCAATGAGCATCTTCGTAACGTTAGAGTTGGCACGTGGCAGTTACTTTTAAAATAATATTCATGGTTTTGAATTAAATTTAGCTAAATAATTTGTCGTCCCATACCTTCTGCTATTGCAATTTTTTTTTAAATTAGCATTATTCCAAATGCAAAGAAGCTTTGTGGCTAATTGCCGGTCTCCTAGGAGATATTAGTCGTGCAAATTTTAAATTAGCATGTCCTTTCCTAGAACTTTTGCAAATATGAAGCCAAAAATGTATTTTAGCTTTGTACTTCCTACCAAAATGATACAACCGGATATATCAAAAGTTACTACGAGTCCGACCTAAACCGTTGTGCTCTCTACGTGACATACGGTGGAGAGCCGTATGGTAATTTGACAGCTATGTGCAATCAGGTAAGGAAGGCCGTGCTCTACATATTTAAAGAGTTCTTAAAAATCAGGTTATTAATCCGATTAAAATTTCCAGATCGCTGCCCCTATCAAGGGGCAATGTCAGGTCGTGAATGCTATGCAAACTGAACTGTTGACGTATATCCAGGCCTCACTATTTACGGTAACATATCAATATTTGTAATACATATATTTTTGTTTTTTAGCCAGATGCCAAATTTTTCCTGGGCCTTGTTCGTGAGCCGGATTGTGGGGCATGGCATTGGGTCCATTACGATGGTTCCACGACACTTCAATCAGCCAATGGGTCATACGACTGTACGCAGACTCAAGCTGTTTATGATGTACGTACGGGATATAGTTTTTTCCCAGTTTCGTGCGCTACCCGATATAGGTGTCTTGATCAGGCAAACTCTCAAAAAAAACGAGAAAACAATCGGATTTATAGCTATTTAAAAAAAAGGAGTATTAAAATGCTAAATTTAGAAACAGAATCGGGCGTTTTCCCCTGTCTTTTCTCGAAGTAAATAAACTGCTACAGTTTTCTTGGTTTTAGTGAACTATTGTTTATTACCTAAATCAGTAAAGTTATCCGGACCGTTGCACGGGTTTTTTAGTCGCATGTGTCCTGCAGCTCCCGATCTACAAATTAACTATTGGTTTTTAGAGTGGCACCACAAAACCGCAAGAGCCATCCTTCTACGTAAACACGACCGGTTTCCTCTGTCAGTGCTGTAAGTGTTACTGTATAAATATTGGAATTGATTTTTTAGACGAACCTGCCACTCAACTGGCAACTACCAAGCTACCTGGAGGTTTGAATTTTTATTTGGGTTATACCGAATTTTTAGATAACTCGACCATGGAACCCATCGATACTGAAAACCCTTTTGAAACTGCTGGCTCGACAGAACCAATGGGTAATGGAACCACCCTTGCTCCGGATTCGAACGCCACAGCAGTCACGAGCAGTCAGCAATCACCAACAGCAGCCACAGCTCCACCTGGCGGTTGGTGTCTTTAAAAACCAGAAATCCCCACGACGTGCGCAAGCAAAAATGACTTTATAGCCATTAGGCGCACCTGGGAATTTCACACTCTGTCCCCCACACCCACTCATTAGTGGAAAAGGCCCCGGAATGGGTTCGGCAATCAATCCCCAGTGAGCCAAGTTGGTCAAAACAGACCCAACTATAGTATGGGTTAGTCATAATCGACTACGTACAGCCTGTAAGAGGAAGCTTTTCAATAAATGGATCACGAAGAGAAAGAGAGACCGTGGCCAATTATCGGGGGACATCGACCTGTGGGTGGTTGACCCACGGGGTGCTAGGATTATACCCTTTTTTGTTGATGGTCCGACGAGAATTTGAAGCGATCATTCCAATTTTCCAGGTTCCGCTGGCGAGACCGGGCCGCGATGGTTTATCCTCATTGGTATTGCCGCCCTTCTGGCACGTGGATGTTAGCCGCCATTAAAAACTGAAATATACTTGCTCGTTTTGATTTGTTATTGATTGAATTTCTCATTTTAATATCTGGCTTCCCATATCGATTTGAAAGCTCGCTTATTCGCGGATAACTCTTTCTGTTTCTACACCTTTTTTGTAAAAATTACTGGCTTGACCTCCTTCACCTTAATCAATCTAAAGTATTGGATCGACAATTTCAGTTTTCCTTTACAATCAGAGCGTCTAAAAAACAACTAATTCTAAATTTGGCTTCGTAGTCATACCTCTGCGCAACTAAAAATCATTTGCGCCAACTGATTTTCGAAGACCCAACCTTTCCATCATAACCCAAAATCATCACCCCTACGACCCCGCTAAAATTCAATCAACCCACCCGGAATTAGCTCAACCACTTTCATGAGTGCCAACGTGTAGTTACAAACCGTGTTCTCCCCTCGTCAATTCCCAATCACCCAGGTTAACCCAATAAATTTTAGATGAGGTGGGCCCTCTTGAGCTTGGTGTTCCACCTGGCCATCTCGGTCGACAATGCCTTCGAGGCTGTTCCAAATAACCTTTTAATAGCCGCACCTCAAGAGGTAGCACCACAACCTGCACCAGATGATCCCATCGATCCAGAAAACATTTGGGGCGATTTTGCAAAGCCGAAGAAAAACAACAAAAAGGACAAGGTTAAAAAGGCAAAAGCTGCGGTGCAATATGATATCCCTACCGATCCCCTCGTTGAAATCGGCAATCCGGATCCCTCAAATTTTCTTCAATCTGGTCGCCGATACATCCATTGACGCATCGACTCAACAGCCAACGAGTACTTCATTCTGGGATAAGCTGAAGAATGCGGCAAATCAAGTCGGGAATAGCATTTCAAACACATTTGATGGTGCTAAAGATTGGGCTGCCACTGCTGCTTCAAATGCTAAAACTGGACAGCTACTGCCACCCAGAATGCTTGGAATGCCACGAAAAACGGCTGGTCAAAGACGAAAAACGCCACCGTCAACCTTTGGGATACAGCCAAGAACAAAACAAAGGTTGGACTAGATAAAATGAAGAATATCACCAAGGAAGAGTGGGGAAAGCTGAAAAATACAACGAAAAATGGCTGGGAGAAGATGCAAAATATGACCCTCTCAGAGGAATGGGCAAAATTGAAGAACACAACTAGCAATGGATGGAATAACCTAAGAAATAGCACAAGGAACGGATGGGGCAAGATGAAAAACATGACAAAGAAGAATGGGCTGAATTCAAGAATACAACCAAAAATGGGTGGGGAAAGATGAAGAATATGACACAAGAAGAATGGGCTAAACTGAAAAACACAACCAGCAATGGCTGGGCAAAGCTCAAGAATGGGACGAAGAATGGATGGGATAAAATGAAAAACATGACTCAAAATGGGATGGACAAGACGAAGAATTTTACAAATATTGCCATGAACTGGACGAAGACGGAGTTAGGGGAGTGGAAGAATGATACCAAGGAAGGATGGGCAAATCTGAAGAATTTGACAAAAGAAGGGTGGGACAAATTGGCAAATTCGACAAAGAACGGGATAGCCCAACTGACAAATGCGACACAGGCTGGATGGGCTAATGCGAAGAATTTGACAATGATCAGCTGGGATATGGTGCAAGGAAAGATTGAAGCGATGAAGCAGGAGAGTAGAAAGGATCACGAGTTGTGGATCAATTTGGTGAATGATAGCATTGTTGAAACGGATGAAAAAACGATGAATCCTAGCGCGCCGGAAATATTGGTAGATCCAACACCCCAACAGCAACAACAACAATTACCAATGATGAAAATTGATAATTTCTGGGAGCACGGCCCGGCGGAAAATGTTCAAAGACAGGTCGTACAGGCTTCAGTTCAAAAAGAAACAACGGTGGGCTTAGGGCAAGCCGAACCATTCGGCGAATTTGTTTCTAATCAATTCCAACAGACCCTCGCCCATATGAATCAGCAAAACCAAACGGCACGCAAACGACGAGCCGACGAAATCTTTGCCCAATTGGCCTCCGAAGCACAAACTAACATCGAGAAGCTGACCCAGGGCAATGATAACCAAATTTTTGGCAATCTCGGAGTGAAAGTCAATGAAAATGGGGCAAATGTGATGGAAAATGGCATGGAAGATCTTGATCCAGCCCTCATCCAGAATATGTTCGATGCGGCAAAATCATTGAGCTCTGCCTTGCTCAACTTCACCCAGACCAATCTCACTGAAATGCTGAGATCGAACGATTCAAAGAATTTCTCAAAAGCTGAGATCCAGGAAATGCTTACCGCCACCCAACAGTCATTTCAGCAAATTAATCAATTAGTTGAGAAGACGATTAGTATGAATAACGAAAATGCCGGGCAAGTGATGAAGGATATTCCAAATGAGAGCGGTAAATTATAAAAAAACTAATTATAATATTCAAATTTTAGTTGGGCTTGGAAATGTGACGACGAGTATGGAAAGTGCTATTAGTGATGCTCAAGCAGCGCTGAATGTCGACAACCCAAGCAAGCTCCAGGTCAGTACCGTACCTGAACTCTAGCAGTCTATTGTAGATGATTCCGTTAAACTAGTGCGAATCATAGAATAGCAAGGCATACTGCAAATATATTTAACTTTTTTTTCAGGAAGCCATCGACCGCGCAAACGATGCGATCCAGAAACAACTTGACGCTCTCAATTCCGTTACAATTGCGACCCAGATGACCATGGCACCATCCGTTGCCGGCTCGGTCGTTACCGAAAAAACCTCGACGCTCTCACCGGCTAGTCTGAGCCCGGATTCAGTCGTTCTCATCTCCTCAACGGAGGTTATTGTGATTGGCCCAGCCTTCACAACGACTGAGCCCGCCTCTGTTGCGGCTTCTGCAGCCACTACCGCTCCTTCATCTGCTGCAGTTTCCGTCGCTGGTTCTTCTTCTTCCATGGCCTCAGGAGTTCCCTCGTTGGCGACGACTGGAACGTCGACTGCAGTCAATATGTCCAGCGTCGTCTCGATGGCTTCCTCAGCAGGAGTCTCGGGTTCCACAGTCTCTGCAGTTGTGGATAACGCTACATCATCCACTACCACCGCAGTGTCTATGACTTCTGCCGCTTCACGGGGGGCAAGCGTCGCGACCACCATAGGCGCTGCTCTCGCTGATAATTCCACGACCACCGTACCGGCTGCGGTTAATATTACCGGTATCCCAAAGGCCATTATTAATAATCTCGTTTTTAGTGCTCACCGAGGCCGCATCCACGCTGCCAGCCCTGACCCGCGACCCTGGAGAGCTGGTGCCAATTCCAGACTTTGCAAAATACAGTGATAACCGTTTCCAAAGTCCTAACATAATTTAGATGGTTGTGTAATTCACCAGGTCGATCCACACTCGAAAGTCAGCAACTCGGCATACCAGGTAGAAGCCAAGGCGCTAAAGACAAAACATGATTCTAGGAAGTGGGCAAAACGCAAGATTGTGAAGCGCTTTGCAAAGCGGAAACAATGTTCCAATGCCAGGCTTATACATGGGCTGGCAAGCTCTATGATATTCTGCTTTGATCGCCTTTTAGGCCCCGGAAGCTATTGCATGTTGCATGGAGACCTAGATGCTTCAATGGTGACGATTCAATCCCATTCGAACTACTACCTAACTGATTACCAATGTGTGAAAACAGGAGACAGTGGTATTTTTTAGATCATTATTTGCCTATGCAATTAATTAATTGTAGGGACCGGTATCAAAACGTGCGTCTTTGTTGAAAGAGGTGTGCAAATCTCAGACGATCTGAATTTGCCGAAATATAGAAAATATCGGGTACTAGAATGCAGCTTACAAAAAAACAAATATTTTTTAGGCTCAATCCATCCAATATTGCCAACAAATGTGCTCGCTGAGCAGCTTGGAAAAATGCACATCATTTGCCTACGACCCAACGTAATTTTCTGTTTTAGCTAACTGATTATTTTTCAGGATTTCCTTCTACGATGGCTACAATTGCTTGAACTTCCATCGATCACTTTCGCTGACCGAGCTACCGCGTGGCTCATTCTCCCTCTACGAAAACCCATGCCTACTCACGACTTAATAGAGCTTTATTGTTGTTATTGTAGGCTTCGAATGCATTTATTTTGGCCGAAAGATGCAGGAAACACGATATTTGATAGAGTGAAGAGTGTGTACACCCGATGCTTCGTCGAGAAATTTTGTGGAAGTTGGAGATTTGTGAGGGATGGGGGAACTTAAATTCGCAAAAATTACATAAAATCTCGAAAGCGGAAAAGCTCATTTGACCAGGCGGGTATAAAAAGAATCGAGAAAATTGGATGCAAAAAATGGAAAAGTAAAGATTCGGAATGATTAGTGCAAGCTATTCAAATGTGTAGGGGTAAATGAAATACATTTACAGTCATCAAATTTAGAATCATTATTGATCCCTGATACTGGTATAGTTTTTCGGAAATGACGTAGATTCGGGCCGAGCGGCAGGATTGGAAACTAAGGTACGGGATTGTACAGCTATTCTGGCATTGGTGGGGAAAACTAATAATTTAAGGTTGTGCTGCGGTTTCGTTTGGAACTTTGTCTCGTGGGGAATGGAGAAGAGGATCGACGAGAGGTAGATCCTGGTTTTTCGGTCGTCGCTGTGGCTGCTTGCGTGAGCGATTTCGCGTAACCACGAGGCCGATGATTCCAACCACTATCAGCACGATTCCCACGCCTCCCACGATGTACCAGAGGTTCGAGCTTGAATCGGCCTGAAACGGGAAGTTATACCGGAATTGTAAGAGCTCCCTGAAAAACCCGCCCTTTTATGCGCCAGGCGACTTTGTCTATTACCCTTTTCTCGCGCAAAATTCCCCTTACCTTATCGATTTGACCAGATGCCGTTGTTCGCTTTGGTTTTGAACCCCGATCCTCCTAAACCAATAATTTTTTCAAAGCCAAAAATACTCATCCAACCTCTTCATCTTCCTTCTCCTCCTCTCCAGATTTTCCAAGCGATTCCCCGGCATTTTGCTCTTCCGAGGTGGCAGATTCATCAGCTGCGGCTCCAACACCGAATTCGGGCACTTTTTCTAGAATTGATTGTGCATGAGAAGTTATATTTTGGATACCGCGATCTTCTTGTGGCTTTGGTGGTTCTTCCTTGATTATCGGTTCCGCCTTGACCATAGGCAGTGCTGGTTGTTCTGGGGTAATCTTCACACCGGCTACGACAGAATCATCCTAAATCCATTTGGTATTTATCAATATGAAGAAGGAACCAATTTTGTTTGGGTGGAATCGACTGGTTTGAAAAATGAAGCATCAGCACCAGCAGCTTCGTCCTCATTTTTCGGTTTTTCTGTAATGGCTGGGGAACGACGGACCGGAATGAAGGCAGGATTACAAGTTCCTAAAAAACTTATTTATTTTCATAAAAAAATAGTACCTTTAGGGTTGTTGCTTTCTCCTCCTGAATCACGACCCCTCCCAACGGACCTTCTGTAATTGCCTGCTGTTCCAGAGCAGTTAGAGTAGTCTTCTTTTCCTGAAAATCCCTATTTTTCAAAACTTGCTGCCTGTTTTACCGGCATTAGCGCTTCCAATGGTGCGGCAACCTCTTTCAGAACAACCGGCTCCTCAAAACGCGTACTCGGCTCAGGTATCTGTAAACCCAACATCTTCCACCCTTTCACAATTTACCACTTCATCCCGGGTAGATTTCGATTCAAATCGCTTCGGATACTTCAAATCCTGAACTCCCAATGAATTTTGGACTATGAGTGCACACGGTTGGTTGGTTTTTGGGTAAGGAGTTGAAAGAACAAAGACAAATCGGTTGGGAGTAAACAGTTTTTGCGGTGGTTTTAACTAGCGATTCAAACCTTAGTAAGTTAATGAAAACAATTAGTACCTCTGGTTGAGAAGTGGTAGTTGATGGTTGAGCGGTAGTTCCGGTTTTCTTTGCTTCGACCGGACTGGTAGTGGTTTTTTCATCAAGACGCTGGCTTGAGGATCGGACTTCTTTTTTGGCGAGTTCAGGCGTGTATTTTGGTAAGTCTTCGATACTGGCTACTGTGGATTGGGCGGCTGATGCTTCCTTGGACGCTTCACTCGACTTTTCAGTGGAAACTGGGGCGGCTGAAGCTACCGCAGTAGGCTTGGAAGTCTCTTTCTCAACTTCCTTCGAGGTGGACTTAGCTTCAACCTTTTCTTCAGGCTTAGCGGTACTTTCAGCTTCCTTAGCGGTCGAAGCCTTAGCCTCTGTCACCTTTTCAACAGGCTTTTCCGTGGCTTGCGCCTTAACCTCAGCCGAAGAAGTCACCGTACTCTTTACAAGCTCTTCACTTTTTCCTTCAGCCGAGGCTTTTCCATCGGTTTCACGAACATCTCTTGGGGCAAGACGCGGCGAAAGACGAGCCATTTTGTCAATCTACACGGAAAGTTAGTGCATGAACACTCAGTTAATCTGGACGACATATGGTTAAGGTCCATAGGGTCATACAGATATATTCAGAAATCGTGCTGGGATATGGGCTAACCTTGAGGACGTGGGGTTTTGGTCGGCGTTCCAGTTCGATGGCCATACGGGATCGTAAAAGGCTTGCGGTTTTGCCATTGCATACAGTTCCGGTACAGCAACAGATGTACTGAAATTTTGAAGGTAAACTGCATATTTGTATGGGTAACCTGAGATTCGAAAAGTTTGCATTCAGATTTGGTACACATTTCGATAGAGGCACAACCAGATGTGATGCGATTCTGAAATATGTGTGGTGGATCCAGTCATCTATTTTGGGGTGATAAAGAGGCTTTACTTTCGGCTACGACCAAACCACGTTGAATGCACGGCATCCCGTCTGATCTGCCAAGTTAAGCAACGTTGGGCTCGGTTAGTACTTGGATCGGAGACGGCTTGGGAATACCGAGTGTCGTAGGCTTTTGGTGTTTGTAATTCCTTTTTGAATATCTAGATCGAAACTCGTGTCTATGAATCTATTTGCATGCGCACTTCCGGCGGTCGTTCCGCAACTAAAGCCCAAGAAAAGTCTTTACTTGAAAGGGAAAGAAGCATTTTGCTATGGTTAGGCCGGATACAAGTGCCGACATATCAGACTGATATTTTTGACATTGAATATCTAACGTGGCGGTTTCTCAACAGTTCCTTTAACAACCTTTATATTTGAATCTACCCGTTTCCATTACCCCCAAAACTGTCCCATTGACTGTTAACCTCTAGACCTATTTCCCGCTACATGCCCAAGCGACCTTGTCGTCGTGAGCGGGGGTGTATTTGGCTGTGTAGTGGAGTGTCTCGCAATTTCCATATCCGGGCCGCGGGGCCTTTTGTTGCCTTATTGCCACCACCCGAATCCGGGGGGGGGGGTATTGGGGGTGGGCCTATAATTAGAGGGCATGTAGTGGAGGTTTGTAGGGGTCCCAAGTGTTGACATGCCGCTTGAATGCCTTCCTCACCCCCTTTTGCTCTACGGGGCTTCACCTGGAGGAAATGGGAATGGCTTGGGGGTGGGTATAGGGCCGGATATTGCTCCTGGTCAAATGGTAGTAGGCTATAATTACAAGGTAAGTTAGAATTTTAGGGTTGAGGGGTAGGGATTGGAATTTGGCCTAGGGCCATTCAAGCGTGGAGAAGTGTGGTGAATTCAGAGGGCATCCCAAAAAACACGTTTCTCTACTGGTTCCTAGAGGTTTCTGATTTTCATTAGGTATTATTCGGGCTCTTGAAATAGCGGGAAAGCCACTGGTTCCGGTGTTTCAGATTAACTATATTAATTCTTTTTCATGCCCAAAAAATGAAAAAGCCTGATTTATTATATATTTATAGTATCTTAAGTTTCACCCTGGGCCGTCTTCTCAGGGACCTAATATCCAGAAAAGCCAACATGATCTAAGAAATAAAACTCGCAAGCTTTCTCGCCGTTTTAAGAGCTTTCGAGTGCGGTAAAAACCATGCGGGTCCGGACCACCCGGAACTAATTTTTGGGAAAACGTATATATTTTTATTCTTATCGACCTTTGACCCTACTGATACCAAAAGTTTCTCCACTGACCAAATCTCCCCCCAAGAATTGTGTGTAGCCCACCAGCTGGTTGCTCGAGCTTGTTGACGAAAAGAAAAAAAGAGGGGGTGGTAGGCACGGGACAGGTGTGATGAGTTGTGTTTGGACACTCGAGATGTGTGTGCGTCAAAAACTCACATCTTTCCGATTTACCGCATCGTAGCAATAGCCGGATCCGCACTTTTGGGTGACCTCGCCTACGCAATGGACGTTCTGGAATGTAGCACTTATTGGATCTTAAAAATAAATATCAATAATTTTTTAGAAACGTGTTGTAAAATGCAAAGCTAAGGTTATCCAAAAATAAATAGCTTTGTAAATGACAACAGGCAGGGAAAAATGATGGTTTTAGTCATCTTAGCATCTTTGGTTTTGGCTTTCTCATTAAATTCAATAAAAATCTTTTAACCCACCTCCTTTGCAGCTTGTGGTGTTTGAATATGAGGCCTCAAAAATAGCTAAAAACAATGGCTCTAGTTTTAAGCAAAAAACCATACATCAGCTGCTGCTCCACAAGCATATCCACAAAACAATGCCAGACATACCCATCTCAGCATCATCCTAAAAAATCCGAATCGAAAATCCGCCTTGAACTGGCGCCAAGATATCGAAGAAAGAAGACAGACTAAAAAGAGAACGGCGCCACGGGTATCGTTTTCTTGAGTGGACTCACCCCCGCCCTTTCAAGAGTTTTGTGATCCAAGCTTTTTTTGTTGATCAGTGGCTACGTGGGATTTCGGGTCCGTCTCGCCGGTTCGAAAGTGGGTTTCATGAAATTTAAAAAGCGCTTGCGGGTAGCAAAGGTGGGAAAGGGATACCGGAAAGGAGAAAAAACGGTTTTGAGAGGCGGGTTGGATTGAAAGTGGCCGGGTTATGGATAGGCTCAAGGAAAAAGGATAGATAGATAGATAGATGAGGAGGAGAAGAAAAGGGAGGGGATGACATACCGGCTTGGATAGGGGAGGAGAAAAGAAATAGTTAGTGCAGCAAAGACGGGCAACCAACAACTATGGGTCGAAAACTGTATGAGTTAAGTTTTTGCGCTGCTTGGGGTTACCGATTTCGAAGTTAGTTTCCACCTAAGATTTCAAAGTGCTCGCTAGAATTCACAGTTTTTAGCAAAAATGCGTAATTTCTATTTTAGGTGGATTTTTGCAGACCAGTTCTTTATGTCTTCGCTGCTATTTCCATCGGTGTTGTTTTATTGTCAATTTTATCGCTACTTAAAGAGGTCAGAAAGGCGAAAGCAGGGTCATTTGGGTTTTCGGTAGCCCCTAGTAGACGGGAGAAGATTTTCACGCGGAAAATATAGTAATAAGAACGTTTTGAGGTAAGGATAAAGTCAATTTCCTAAAAATAATCAGTAAATACTAAATTGCTAAATGCTAAATTTTTGTGAATTAATTAGAAGATTATGGAAGAACGAAGCAGCTGCAATAAAAGCATAAGCGAACAAAAATAGTTACGTAGTAGGTAAAAAAAATAGAAAAACAAGAGGTAAATTTGGGAAAACCAATCAAGCGATCCGGTCTATTTTGATCTCATTCTCCTCGATATCGGACCGGCCATTGCTCTTGGTGAGGCCCAGAAAATAGTTAGTGCATGCAATTTGTCGGGGCGTATCAAGAGGGGCAGCTGCCAAAAGTCCCCAGAGGAACGGCTCACGAAGTGTTGATGGATGCATTTTAGGGGCCAAACCCATGTTCCGCCACTGCCTCGATCTACCCCCACCCCATTTGATCCACTGCCCTCAATTGATTTACCCGCAGGTGCCCATTGTCATTCTCATCCCAGAAAGATGTTTTAAAGGGTTTGTGACAGCTGCGGGTAGGCGATCCCAAAAAGACATATTCTTGAAAAGATGACCCGGAAAATTCAGGCCGATCGTATAACAAACGAATTTTCCTTTGCCGATTTGCCTTCGGCAGCCGAGTGCACCCTATAGCTCCTTAGCCACCGACAAACCCCAACAATTTGGAAGCCAAACGGGTGAGCAAATTTTTTGCGATAATTAGCTAAAAGCCAACCGGCCGGGCGCCATTGTTATCAAGCGCATAAAAACCAGAATGACCCACCCGAACACGGTGGGGGTCCCTAACCGGATTTGAGTATCTGTGTTTCTAGAATTTAGAAATAAAAAATTCTTTATGGCAGATGTGTTGAACGTTTTCTTAGGATATAATAGCAGTGAAAGAAAGTAAAAAAGGGCTGTGAAGGCGGCAAAGTGTCGGGTCACAAAGCTGTGGCCGATAAGGATCGGAAGTGCTGACCGGGTGCCTAGAGGTTGAGAAAAAGAGAATGAGTTGCAGCAGAAAAATCTTGAGTTGGGATAGGAGTCAATCAAGAATTAGATGGTTTAAAATTTCAAATAAAAACGCTGCATGCAACTTACATTAACGTGTTTCACTGGTAAGGGAAGGTACGTTAAGGTAACAGAAATCGTCAGAGAGCACTATGTCCATATCATAATGTAGAAAACGACCGCTTCTAAAAATTACTGCCAATGTTGCCCGTCTGGGGTCCCAGATGGGCGAAGGGTTGACACACCGCCAGGCGGTTTTTCAACCCCGCGAAGCTATTAATACTGAAAGTGTTCGAGACCTTGTTAGCCACTCGAAATGACCTGAACGCGGCGTGTATGGTGGGCGGGCAGGTCCTCAGACTGGTGCATGGGGCTTATAATTGAACGAGTGGCTTTATTGGCCCTCGAGCAGCCCATGGTGCAAATCCCGACGACCACACTCGCACACAGGGATTGAAAGAGAGAGAGAGAAAGAGAGCCAAAGAGAGACATACATGCACCAACTCACACCTTGGCCATGGGGGCACCGCCCCAAACTCGCAGAATCTCGGCTGGTGATACGACACCATTAATGTAAAAAATATGGAAATTATGAAATATTTTTGCGAGTTTGAGCTAATCGAACAGAAAGCTATTTTTTATCTCATTGAAAAAGTGCTGTGTGACCTATTTGTTATTTTCGCCAATTTAAAATTAGGTCTGTTGAATTTTGGCTAGAGAAAGATCCCGAAATGCTAAATAGGTTAAATAAAAGTCAGATCAGATGCAAATTTGGTAACACGCAATTCGGGGAGATCAAATTCTACCAGATTAACTTAGCTCAGATAATAATCAAGTCGTAATTGAGATAAACCATGGGGTCAAGACTAAATTAAGACTACTAATTGGAAATTAATGAGAAAGATTTGCAAGAAAGATTCAATCCTAGATAGTCTACGTTAAGTTAAACTGGCTAGCGCGCGGTTGGACACCATAGTACACATGTCAGAACACCTTTTCATATAAAAATATGTGAATGACTTCAACCCCCATCCCATCGTCTGTCGCCAGCTGCCATATCCCCCATCTACCCCCCCCCCTCCCAAAGTTTACACATATTCAATGTTCAGATGGCCATCTTTGAGAGCCTCCAATAGGGATTAAGCGGGATCTGCTCGCGCACACTCGACCCCTCCTATGTTTATACCCATATACATCAACCCCACCCTCGGTTTATACCCCTCAAAATTAATGAAAAGCCATCAAACAAACGCAGGGGCAAATTGTGAAAGCGGTGGTGCAACCTAATCTGCCAATCGAAACGCTCCCCCCTTCAGCTCCCGCCTGGCAAAAAGCGAAACCAGATAAGCTCGGGCCCGATCGGGTTTTGTTTTGGGCTTTTTCAAATATGCAAAATAAGATAGAGGTTTCTCGGAATAGGGAAATGGCGGAGCCTTTTTCAGTGCAGAGCGGAAAAAGGTGCCATGAATTTTTTCAAGGAGTCGGTTCGCGTTCCTGAGGGCCTATCAGCTCCCGATAAAAACGTAAGTGTAAGACGTCAGCCGGCTTAACGGGTTTCGACGTGATTTCTGGCAAGGACAGGGTTTACTGCAGTAGCACTGAAGCTTGTGGATAAAATACAATATTTCTTACCCAAAAATGTGAATTATTTAACTAAATAATAGATTAAAAAATATGAATCAATATTAAGAAAATCTGAAAATGGTAGCTTCCTAGTAGCTGACCGAAGCGGGAAGAATTTTTTGTGTTTCTATCTGAATCGAACTGGGAGAGGCAAATAAGCACCCGATAAAAAGTTCATGATAAAAGAAATGACTCAACAACCACAGTGAATAATCCTTGCGGGGTGTCACTACAAATACCCGACAAATCGAAAACCTACAGCCCAAAACTCCTCATACACAAAAATTATCGCAAAGCCATAGCCATAGCCAATCCCGGAATAGCCTTCCCCGTAGTCTATATTTATCCAGACACCCTTGAATATTCTAGAACCAGTCCTCCAGATGACCAGTTCCAGAATTCGCAACACGCCCGCCCCCTCCCTTCCTCCCTCTGGCCGAGTCACAAATTGGGGGTTAACATTTCCGTCTGACGACCAAATGACCGGATTTCGAGTTGCAAATACACAGCATAAAGGGTGGGCGCCGTGTTGATTTAGTTGTTGACCTAGTTCAGACAGAAGGGAGAGGTCCGAATAGGAGAAAAGGGTGTCGAATGGGCAAATGGTCGGCATTCAGTAACTGGGCGACGGGGGGGACACACCATTTAGGGACGGACGACTGGTGGCGGCTGGAAATAACTTCCACCTTACTCTCAATACTCCGGGGAAACGGTTGTCAGTTACTGGTTAGGGTTTAGGAACGCAGTATTGTGGACTTTATCAGAACATGAAAGTTTGCAAAAATTGCATGTCTTAATCTAACGTGTTTTTTTCAAATAAGCTGAAAATGCCTAGAGACTAGTAATAATGCACGGAGTTGGTATTACAAAGTAATTTATAGGGAGCCAAAGTTAGCCATTTCAGACTAATCATCATAAAAGATTTAACTTTAAAAACTTTCAAATCGCGCATCCTTGAGAATTAGGATAGCAGGTTCAGCTTCATCAAAAACACTGCAAAATATAGGTCAGATCCCATATAAAACTTTCAACCTCTCAAAACTCAGCACTCTTAGTTTCATTAAGTCTTGTAGCTTCAGAAAAATCAAAACCTCAAAGACATTTACCTAAACACCACTGGTACGGAAAGCATCAGCTGACTCCCAACTAAAACCCTCCCCGACATGCAATCCAGAAAATGGCTTCCGCCTAGAGCTCGAAATTATTGCATTTCCCCGCCTGCTCGTGCTGCCCAACCCTACCTCCCAAAAACCCCTTGATCACTTTCCGGTAATCTTTGAAACCCAGCTCCATACGTTACAAGGAATAGCTTAAAATGAAATAAAGAAAACCTGGGCGTGATTTTTAGCAGGATTTTTCCCCGCACATCAATCAATCCCGCAGCCAACCGCGGATGTCATCTTGATTAGCGCATCGAGCTTGAGGTGTGGCGATCAAGCCGTGAAGTAACGATTCTAGTTAAAAAGAAACAATTTTTTATTTTGTTTGAAGAACCGGGCAGGTTTTCCTTTTGCGCATTGTGGCTCAAATTTCCAGAGGGTGAGGGCTTTTAAAAACAGGCTAATTGCGCGCGGCTCGGATTTCAGCGGCTGCATCAAATCCAGAGCGATGAAGGGTCGGTTTTGAAACGAAAGG